CCCCCCAGACCCCCCCCAATGAGGTTTTGTTTTGTTCGTACAAACACAGGGTTTGGGGAATGTCGCAACACGCGCACACCACAATCTCTCCATAGAGGTGTCTCTTGCACGCCAGGAAGCGGGGGCCACTTGGACGCTGCACGGGTGACTGCTGTTGCAGAGCCCAAGCAAACACACACCAGTTAGACCCTACTCAAGCACTGATCAAATAGAGTTCGTTCGCCGTCGTTCATTTTGCATCACGTTGAAAGATAACACTATACGACTTTCCAGATTGCAAAAGTAATGATGCATAGCAGCAATGAACCAGAACCGCCAAACACAACCTCTGCAGTTGGTTGCGGCCCCTGCTGTTGATGCTGCATGCTAATTAGCGGTTCATCATGTACCGGCTTGCTGATGACAACAAGAGTGGCATCATTGTCGTCGGCTGGCTGCAGCATTGCGTCCACATTGCCTACGGCCTCTAGGCCGTCTGCATTACCGTCGCTAATGGCTTCAGTGAAGTTTAATATCTTCTTTAATGGCCTTCCACGTTTTGGGAGCTTCGGGTCCGAATATTTTGCAGCGTTTGGTCCGGTCAGAAAAAGTCCGATTCCTCGTTGACTTTCGGGCGTGACCTTCCTAACAGTATCCATGGCATTAAAGTACTATAATATGGTTAACATGTTTGTCTCCTGTAAGATTCTAGCGGCTTTGGCATGGACAGCCCATTTTTGGCTGGAGGAATGAACTTGTACGGTCGGAACATTATTTATTCTTAATTTCCAGGACCGCGAACATTTTTTTATTCCGAATTCGGAATATATTCCGCAAAAAAAAAACACTGTACTACACCCTCTCACGCACCAGGTGGTGCACACACTGATGCTTCCTCACGACAAAAAGTAACCACCAGCCACACCTTGCACTGCCTTCCCCTATCATCCTCCCCTCCCTCTGTCCCATTCCTCTCCACCCCCATGTTTTAAAATATGTGTGTATATGCATGTATGTGTGTCTCAGTGGTACATATAGTCCTTCCCTCCCTGTACTGCTGTACAGCTTTTGAATACATGGACATCTGTACAGAGCTTCCTCATGGCCTCTGTCACACGGTTGGCCACCAGCAGCCCGTGCACCTCTAAACCCAACTCCATGTGAGCACGCGAGATGGCCTTCAGGGCAGGGCGGGGTGGAAGGGGAGGGGGGTGGGGATGTTGCATCACCTCCCGTAACAGCCATCTCTTACCTTAGGCGTTTCATCGGAAGTGTTGGGTAGTAAAGCCGTGGGAGGAGAGGGCCTCGACTACGAGGGACGGCTCAGCATTAGGAGCGAGAAGCGGTACGGGAAATCTGAGTTCGAAGACATAAGTCGAGAACGGTGACAGCAGAGTCTAGAACTCCGAACAATGGTATAGTGATACGAAAGTGTGTGTGTGTGTGTGTGTTACATGGTTGGGGTGTGTGTGACCCCATACCTGTAAGACTACCCATACGAGCCGAAGGCCCAAGGGCAATACTACAACGCCTAAAAGGCACGGAGAAAAGGAAAAACACCGCACATCAGCCCAGATTAGCGTCCAAAGGGGGTAATTGAGTTTCGGTGAGCCCACATACGTTCCAACATCCTCGCCAGACGTGCGGGTTCCCATTGCATGGCCTCCAACATACTCTGTTAATGATCGAATCCCTCTTCAGCACGAATATCATTATAGGCTGGGCATTCCAATAACACGTGTTTTTCATCCTCAATTCGGCTATTAGTACCACAACAGTGGCAAAACTGCTGCCCCCTGGGGACATGGTACTTGCCCCTTCGTGCTCTGTTTGCCTCCAAAGCCCAGCAACATACGAAAGTGTCTGGCCGAAGCACTTCACCAGGGTGGCTTAAATGCGGCCCACCTGCCGCCATCTCCATTCCTGGAGTCTTGCTGTCGTACGCTAGGTTATGATAGCGCAACAGAAAGTGAGTTAGTACAGTTAACGAGTATGGTTCGTAACTAGGGGACCGTACCGTTACTGTGATTAAGCTTTAATAGCTTAAAGATGTTTTAAGGTAAATGTAGCTTGCTACACCTCCTCACACCCTTGCTGGCCTATACTTCCCCAGGATGCAGTCCAGCCATTTGGCTCTGATTACTTGCCCCCAAGCGACTCGTGTATACTTACAGCAAGGGGTCCTGAGCCCTCGCCTACGTCCAGGGCTCCGCACTCTGATCTTTGCAAAGCCAACCGCCCCTGGAACGCTCCCCCAGCCCATTGTAATCCACGTATCAAGGACGCTGGGTACTGAAATACTTTGTAGAAAAGACAACAGGGCCTTTGGGCTGTCACACCAGTGACCCACCATGGCAGCCCCCAAATGCGGCAGACCGTATACGGAATCAATTTCCAGCTCCATATCAGCACTGCCATATAGACCCGATACATACTCGGGAGACAGGGCCACAGGACCTGGGACCCCTGACTGCGAAGAACACAAAGTCGCCTCCACCGTCCTGTCGACTAGCAACCGAACACGGTACAAAATCCTGTAGTATATCAAATGCTCAGATTCTAGCGCACCAAAAAGGGACCCACCGCGACAGGGAACGAGCCGAAACTTGACCAGGTCTGCGGAAACTTTTCGTAATCGGGAGGCCCTTTGCGGAAAGGCTGCGGAAACTGCGGAAAGCTGCGAAAACTATAAAATGAATATGTAACGATGTTTTTTAGCTCTTCTCAGTGTGGCGATAACATGGACAGTCTGAAACCAGCTTGTGGCAGTGCGGTTCTGTCCGGTGGGATCTAGAATCCGGTGGATTCCAATCGTGCTCGAAGGTAGAGCCATCTAAACGTATTACTGGGGGTGGCGGGGGCCAAGCGATCAACTATTGTGTGCCCACACCCTCGACGGTGTTCACCCTGCCCCCTTAAAGCAGCCCGCCTCTCTTTGAACCCTGAGACCCCAGGCCTGAGCAGCCCTATCTTATACCACCCCCATAGTGTTGTTGGCTGACGGATTGCTCTGGGATGCTCAGAAATTGCCACTCGTATGTTACATGGGGTAAGGGCCCGGGGAGCCCTGAAACACTGAATAATAAACGTCTCCCTGTCCGTTGCGGAGCAGTGACATGTCTGCATGCCTACTCCACATACCCGTCCGGCATGTCTGCATGCCTCACGGACAAGTCTATGCTGACTGTGCATTAATCCAGTAATCGTCCAAACAATATGAATTCAAAATAAAAAAAATCAAAAGGAATAAAAAAGGCGAGAGGGCTAAAGTATCTAAAAATGGCACCGCACAACGATAACTGCAACGACGTGGCTCAGTTCAACTTCAACCACGTTTACGGATATTGTGGAATTAATTATCAAAAACCCTTCTTCTGAGCAGAAACACAGTCAATCTCTATGACTTCGGCAGCCCCCAGGTCGGGGCCAGTGGTTGTTGACATTTGACTTAATCTAATAACTCCATAGTGTAAAACGCAGTCTTTAAATGGCAAACGCATGCCTGGAATCTGTTTTTCAATTTCCGCCGTACAGCAAACACGGAAATGCGGATTCTCTTTCCGCATTTCCGCCAATCTGGGCTTCGCTGCGGAAAGCGTGACGAAACCTATTTACGCAGGTTTCCATTTCCGCAGGTTTCCGTTTCGGCTCGTTCCGGTGACCGCGAAAACCATACCAAAAGAACTCGTACCGAAAACGCACGAGCGACTCAAAGGAGGCGCCATCCGAAGTGCAAGGCGTGCCACTATACTTGTACAAGTCAATACCGATATACAGTTAACAAGGACATGGCGGTAGTTCCTGGCCACTTTCAAGGCCGGCCGATAATGGGCAGCCATCGGGGCGTAACTATAAGCACTACGCGCCAACTCTCTGACCAACATATCACTCTGCTACACCGTAACTGCCACGTTAGCCCAGCCCTACTTGCCGGCCCGCGCCGGGCAGATGCGCTGGCCGCAAATTGCACTAAGCTAAGCCCGCAAGCTCTGCAAAGCAGCTGCTGTTCTCATGGACAATCAGGCCAACATGGCCAACCTCACCAGGGCCTACTCCACGGAGGCGATCGCTTCCTCGTTTACAATCTGGCCTTGGGGTGGTGAATAGCCTACGCCTGAATAAGGATAGCACCATCTCCGTACCAGCGGATAAGCAACAGCTGATCGGCAGGATACGTGATCTGCTCGCCCACCGCGGAGTTGACACCACGGGCCTTCAGCTCTTCCTGTCCGATCCGGAAACCGCCCACTTCCCCGTTGGTATCGAAGCCCCCGCCGTGCAGTGGTTAGCTGTTGCTTATCCGCTGGTATGGAGATGGTGCTATCCTTATTCAGGCGTAGGCTATTCACCGCGCCCAAGGCCAGATTGTAAACGAGGAAGCGGCCACAGGCGATCGCCTCCGTGGAGTAGGCCCTGGTGAGGTTGGCCATGTTGGCCTGATTGTCCATGAGAACAGCAGCTGCTTGCAGAGCTTGTGGGCTTAGCTTAGTGCGATTTGCGGCCAGCGCATCTGCCCAGCGCGGGCCGGCATGTAGGGCTGGGCCAACGTGGCAGTTACGGTGTAGCAGAGTGATATGTTGGTCAGAGAGTTGGCGCGTAGTGCTTATAGTTACGCCCCGATGGCTGCCCATTATCGGCCGGCCTTGAAAGTGGCCAGGAACTACCGCCATGTCCTTGTTAACTGTATATCGGTATTGACTTGTACAAGTATAGTGGCACGCCTTGCACTTCGGATGGCGCCTCCTTTGCATCGCTCGTGCGTTTTCGGTATGAGTTCTTTTGGTATGGTTTTCGCGGTGGGTCCCGTTTTGGTGCGCTAGAATCTGAGCATTTGATATACTACAGGATTTTGTACCGTGTTCGGTTGCTAGTCGACAGGACGGTGGAGGCGACTGTGTTATCAGGTATCACCTTCATTAAGGATGACCTTACAGGAATGGTGTTTCAGTTTTGCTGTGTGCAGGCTTCCCATGTGGGTTAACCTTCGGGTTCGCCCCTGTCTCATCTGTAACCCTAGCTTAAGGTTTGACTCAGTTTGCCTATACCAAACCCACAACCCCAGCACCATACGGGCTCAAGAGGGACATGAGTGAGGTGGCAATCAAGAAGAAGAAGAACCTGCTCGCTGTGTACAAGGCGGTCAACAATGAGGCTAAGAGGACTGGTGGCAGTGGCAGTGGCAGTGCTTATCTTCGATCTCCAGGGGGATGAGCTGGCGGAGGCCATGGTGAAGATTGAAGTGAAGCCTGGGAGGGACTACACCAAAAAGGTGGGCACTATACAACTGGATGTTGCTAGGGAGGGCTGCGGTGTGGATAACCATAACTAGGATTCCACCACAGTTACTGTCTCCTGTCAATCATGCTGTGTGCTTGCCTGTGTGTTACTTTGCTGTGTGCAGGTTCATGAGGCACTGGAAGCGATTTACTCCAAGAATGCGGCTGTCAACTCAGAAGCTGTGGCGGCTGTTGTTGACCCGCTCACGCTTCTCACACTAGCACTGACCCACGGGTCGCATCCACGGAGCACTGACCCCGACATCATCCCCAAAGCTCGCTGCCATGTGGTCCTGGTCTTCGTCGCATCAAAGGGTAGATGAGCGAACCCGGCTGCACTGCGTCGTGTTCACTTCACCATTCCCGCTTTTGGCTGTTACTGTGCTGTTGCCGGATATTGCTGTTTCTGACCCTTTGCTGTTTCGTCATTGCTGTTTCTGACCCTTTGCTGTTTCGTCGGTTTACTTAACTGCGTGGGTCCCCTAGATCGATATGATGTACTACTTCATCCGTGGTCTGGAGCTTTTGGGCATTATGTGGGATGTACGGCGCCCTAGTCCTAGCCAGCTGGTCGCTAAGTGCATTCCGCCCCCATTCCCCAAGTGCCGGGGCGTCAAGCTGAAACACGGTGCATGAGAGGAGGGAGCACGCTGCAGTCTTCCACCTATTCTTCAATCTGCTGGGGTCGCTGAGGTCAACCTCCTCCTAGGGCCCACCATTGTAGGGGTCGTCGGAGTGCTGCGGGCGGTACATGGAGTGTTAAGGAGCTGGGCAGCCGTGAAGCGGAGGGTGTTGGGAAAGGAAGGAAGGGGGGGCGAAAGGGGGACAGAGAGGAGAGGCGGCTAAGGGGATGGGAAGGCTTTCCCTGTGGGACCAGGGATGGGTCCGTCAAGGTACGTCCATTAGGATGAATGCTTTGGGATTTGAGTCGTGTGCAATGAACTGTACGGAGCCGTTTTTGAGTACGGACGCGATGATGTGGGGCTGCGGACCCAGGGCACATTGGGGGGGGCCGCCATCCAGGTGGTTGGTTGGTTGGTGGTTACCCCTTCTTCTGTATCCCCTTCCTCGTCTGCACCATGACCATGGCGCCCCTGGCCCAGTGACACCTCTTCCGAAATCCCTTCAAACAATTGATGGTCCGTGACCCCATCGTAATACCGGATGCACCAGTTGTGCAGGATGAACCAGGCAAGAATAACATTGCGTGCATAGTGGACATGGTGGGATAGCTTCTTGCCAAGACAACGGAACCGACCCTTGAGCCTCCCAAAAGCCCTTTCAACACAGCCAGCTGCACAGAGTGCAGCACACGGTTGTAGTAAGCAATGTGGGTACTTGGTGACCTATCCTTCGGAGTAAGGAGCCACGAGTAACTTCAGAATTTTATCTTCAATCCCTGCGCTAATCCCAGGCCTTAGGAATAGCCGGGGATTAGCCGGGATTAGCAGGACCTTAATCCAGTGTTGCTACCGTAATCCGTTATGTTATGCTAAATTACGCCAGCGTAATATTACGCGAAATATGCATCTCAGGTACCCTTTTAGCCAGTCCGAAGGTTTCGGAAGCGGGCAATGGACAGTGAACCATGGATGTTGCAGCCGTGACAGCCATGTTGAGGTACAACTTCCCCAGCTGGTTCGACTGGAGCGAGGATCCGATGAAGCCAGATCAGGGGCAGAAGGGCAGGTCGTACAAGGTCGGAGACGTTTTGGCGACTAATGGAGCGACTGTGGGCAGGCAAGGAGATTCACATCTCAAAGACAACGTTACTTCGGGTTACGTGCGATTACTCCTGGCTGACATCCGTGGGGCTGGGTGTCAAGCGGGAGCGCTGTGGTTAGGGACACTCTTCACACTCACCAGTGAGCATGTAGAGTGTCAGACAGACAGACAGCCTAAGTAGCTGGATACGGATGCCCCCGATGGGTTCCGTCGATATGGACCTGGCCAGGTCCCATGGGAGGTGGTTGTGATGGTGGGAGGTGGGAGAGGCAGAACGCAGCCAATGAGTAGCAAAATGTTGATGGACGCGCGCTTGCACCCCAGGCTGCAGCCAGCCAGCAGTGCATAGGCTGGTTCACAGCTCATTTCAGCTCATTTTAGCTTCGTACGTCATCCGGCAGCAGCCCTGATGGAGCACCCACCCAGGAGGAGGAGCCCTCACTGCTTGCTCATCAGTTTAGACTGATACTTTATGGGGTAAAGGCATTAAGCTCGAAATAAGCACGTTCCGGTGATAATGGCAAGTTACAGGGTAATGGGCACAGCGAAATTACAGTCCTGTGCTCTAAAAGGACGGCACGCGTCGTACGCAGCTGCCGTTTCGTTCCTGATGCAGCTCCATGCAGCAACAACAATATGCGGTTTGTTACAGCGGACCCCAAACAATGTCCAGTGCATCAGCACAACACTGTGGCCGTAAAGCTTGCACTGAGTGTCCAGCTGGTCCGGCCAAGGCGCACTGACATCACTGGGCTAAATGCCCTATGTTACTGCAACGAAACATGGAAAAAAAGCACCCGACTCAGGGTATCCTGAGCCGGTGAATGTACGGGTTGCCTAAAAAATAGGCAATAAAAGCCCAGGATGGGCGTGTTAAAAAGGCGAAGCACAGCCAAACCAGGGAAATAAACCTGAGCCTGACAAAACCGGATGCGAACCTACGGCCCAGGAAAGCCAAACAGACCGCGACATCCAACACGCAAAGTCCCCAGTCCCCCACCAGCACCCAAAAGCCCTAGTGACGCACGAGAGCTTCCCCCGGAGAGACGGGAGCGCAGCTACCTACCATACGAGACGGACCCGCGAAGCACGCCGAGGCATTCACACAGACCGATGGCGGCGCCTTCATACAAAACAGAGGAGATATGAAATGAGCGAGATCGGGTGTGCGGTGCATGGGGGCTGTGGATTGGATGGTTGGCAGTGGGATGGTGGGTGAGACGCCTGATGAGTGGGTGGCTGTGTGTGATTTCTTACAGCTTAGGCTGGGAATGTTACAAAGTTTGGAAGGGAGCATACGCATGCTCACCCTAATCCCCTAATCCGGTCCTAATCCGGTCCTTACGGTGGCGCGCTCTTTGATTTCATACAATTCTAGGGCCTCACTGTCCACACGCCACAACCACGCCACGCCAATCTGCTAGTGTCAGGAATTCGTCGCGTTCCGCGTTTCGCGTGTATTGGTCTGAGGGCTTATCCTGCGCCACTCGTGCCTCCAACCCGGCAGACCCTGCCTTCCCGGCATTTCGGGGCACCCTCATCCAGTCACCCTAGTCAACTTCTCAGTGGATCGCTCAGGTTCCGCACCCACCACCAGCATCCAACGGAATCTGCCAGGTCGACGGCGACTCAACTCCATTCAGTCAGCTTGCAAGTCAGCATTATCCCAGGTCACCACCGTCCATCAACTAGGGACACAATACCTTCCACCATCGGAAGGATTTTCGACTCTGACAGGTCTCGATCCTGAGATCTCCCGGGAGCATTGGTGCGTGATCTACCAGTAGTGCCTGACCTGAGTATAATCCTGTATGCATGCATGCGAACTTGCATAGGTACGGACGACACACGCATTCGTACAGCACAAACACAATCTCACGCGGAGACGCCTTTATGGGGCTCCAGAACCCAAATTGAACCTTGGTACGATTGCCTGGGATATGGGGGGTAGAGCCTCACCCGCCGTGCCATTAGCCAGCTGCCAGTCCCTACCCAGTCACCCATAATGCTTCGGGACATTATCATGCACCTCGACGATGCCGATTAATGACTTATGATTTATTATCTTTCTCAATTTAGCATCCACCACCACAATCAGCATCCAGTTAAACCTGCCAGCTCAACGGCAGCGACAATTCAACCCCAGGTCGGCTCGAAGTAACAAAAGTTGGGTCCATCACCGTCCATGTACATGGTACATCGCATCTTACAATCGAGAAACCTTTTCTCGTGCACCTGTCGGACCGGTCTTAAGACCTCCTGGGAACGCATTCCTGCATATTAACATGTGCATAATGCGACTGTGACAGTCATTTGAGCCATTCCGCGCCTTGCCAGATTTAAATCTGAGCACCCCAAAACCTCCACCACAACCTTTACACCCTCCTACCCTAAGCCTTTAGTGCCTATAGCACGTTACAACCCATAACAAGCCAAAATGAATTACTTCATAACATCCTATCAAATGTACAATAGTGCAATCCCATTCACATCTTCGCACCCAAAGGCTTGAAGACAACTTTTTGAAAATCTTTAAAATCACGACGACAGACGACATGGTCTTGCTCCAATGCCCACCGTACACATACGACAGACCGTTAGTACATCGCTGTACGAAACGCGAAACAAATGTGTTTGAGCGCCGGTGCCCGCAATGCTTCAAACCGCCGGCTAGCCACATATGCCCCCAAACTGCTTATCTGGGCTCGCACGAGGTGAGCCTCGTGACAATGTGGGCATGCAGCTAGCAGCCACCAACACGTGAGCCTCCAGTGACGAGCTTCTGCTAATCCCACCCGTTCAAGGGCAGAGCGAAATACCCACCGCATTTTTCCCGCAACGCATTGTCACGTACAAGTAACCTTGTACGGCAGCAGTACAACGTACAACACGTGTGCTATTTACTGTCTTCATGTGGCAGGTATGGATGGGAGGGCGTTGTCACAGAGCGGCCATTCTGGATGATGGGTTGGGTTGATGTTGCGATGGGTGATGCATGCACATAAAAGAGCGGGGCCGGCGTGGCTACTTCAGACTCACACCCTACGTGCTGTGCTGCGTTGGATCCGCCAAGAATTCCAACACCGGGGAAAACGGAATCCAAAGCCGTACTCAGCAGGAGCTAAAGCCACAGAATCCAAAAATAATTTGAACAGGGCGCAAAGGGCCGAAAATGCGCCAATGACAGAGATGCCTTGCGCCCCCCTTTCATATGCTGCGCGCCTCAAAGAGTCGCCATGCCAAAACGTTTGAACGCAGCGGAGGAGATAGCGAACACAACTCCTCACTTACCGCGAGGAGGAAGGCGAGTTTCTTCCAAAATGTTGTTGTCAACAATTTATTAGGACCTGGTTCGCTCATCCTTTATTTTTTTTCATTCTTTCTCGTCAAAGCAAAGCGTGCGCGGATGTGCTCCGGGAGGTGCCGGATGTCGTCCTCGTCGTCTCCCTCTCTCCCCCCTTCTCTTCGTCTTTTCCCCCTCTCTCTCTCACTCTCTCACACACATGCACATACACACAAACACAATATATAAATTTGCCCCTCGCGAAAGTGCCATATCCGTGCGAATACAGCAATGCAGTACAAGGCGCAAGCCGCAGCACAATTGCCTCCAAATTGCGGTAACTTAAAGCTATTACTCCTTAGCGCGCGTCCTGCTTTGTGAGATCGGTACTGCAAAATCAAAGCAAATGTAAAAAACCCTAAACAAATAAATTAGAAATCTGTATTTTCGTCTGCAAATTCCTTCCATCGTCCCTATACAAAAAATTGTGGGCAACAAAATCTCTTTATGCCTCCGTACAGAATCACCGGCATCTTCATTTTGCCGTCCGCAATCCGCAAGGCATGCAAAAAACGGAACGAAACCTGAAATCATACCCGCGCACGGGAGGTGGCCTGAGGCATCCATTGGCATGGCCTGAGGCACCCGCAGCCGGGCATCGCTCGGCTCGGGAACGAGCTCAAAGCTCGCAGCCGTGCCTTCTCGTCGCAAAGGCATTTCAGTGTGGCACATACCATTTCTATCCCGCCCTCATTCCAACCTTTTCTCCAAGCAGTACTACCAGGACCGGAGACAACACAAGTAGCAGAACACGCCAAAAAAACTTCAACTGTACCACACGGCTATCTGGTCGCCACTTCCTGCCCACTGCGCCGCTGACGTACACGTACCTGCCGTACTCCCGCTCGGGCTCATCTGCAGCTTCGTTACTGTCTTTTGCGCCGGCGCCGACGGAGAATATGGCTCTGCTGTACACGCCGCTGTCGCTGATGCGCATCCGCTGCTGCCGCTGCCGTCAGGCGGCTCTAAACTTGTCGGGCAAGCCGGCGCCGACAGGCCGCGAATCAGGTCCGAGGTCAATAGCCGGGTGCGGCCACTGCCGCAGCCGGCTTCAGCTGAATGGCAGCTTCCGGACGCCGCACACCGCTCCTCCACCTCCTCCATGTCCCCCGCTTCCTCCTCAAAGACAGTACTCAGCGGCGCCGGCGGCATGATGGCAAAGGCGTACTGTTCCGAGGCCATGATGTCGCAGTACAGCTCCAGCTCGCTCACGCTACAGCCGTCGCTGTTGGCTGCAGCATTTGATGGGAGAACGGACCCACGGGTCACGATCGGTTCCCCAACGACCGGATAGCGGTCGGCAGTGAGACGGTGGTCAGGATCATATGCGTCTTGCTCGTCAGTGTCGTCTTCTGCTATGGCGCTAAGGGTGAAGCTAGGGATGCCGAGCCCTCCTGTACGATAGCTCCACACGTCGTGGGGGCCGTACAAGCCGGCCTGGCTGCCGGCGTGGCAGTGTGCGGGAAGGTCGTCCTTGTAGGTGATGTGGGGAGCCGGGTTCTCTGCACGTGGTTGGCGGTTTACGAGCGGCGAGCGTAGACAGTGCTTAAGCGTCTGGCATCGGAATTGTGCGCAGTGTCCATAAACAAGCATTAGCACAAGCGAAACTCCTGCTGGACTATTTACTGGGCCCGAAAAATCACAAGAAGAGAAATGTATGATGCAGCTTCATATGACGGTCAAAAGTGGGCCCTTTCGCTGGTATCACAGCAGCTCCTGCCCGCTCCTATTAACGGCTCTCATTAGCGGCACCCAAAGTAACACCTTCACCTTAATTTCAAAGGTAACCATCTAAAAGGGCAAACTGGTTTTCAATGCCTTTTGCGAAGCCAAGGATTGCCTTAAGCGCTAAGGAGTGCACGCTGCAAGCGACCCTGCATGAGAATCCAACCAAGCCAAGCCACAATCCAGCCTCATAGCTTGTATAAATTTTTGTTAACCTTAATTCCAAGCCACTGTCTGAAGCCTTGCGGGGAGCCAGCCTCACATCCTGTTGGTCCCCATCTCTCCAATTGCTTCCTGCGGGAGAAACTCACCTTGCTCAGAAGAGTCATTAACGAAAGGTCCGGAAACCGAGTCATTCTGCAGGTGCAAATGGAGAAAACGTTATCCAGTAGTTCTTTTGTCGCAGCCGCTGCAAGGGGAGCGTTTGGAGCTCACCCTAGGCCCGGCGCATTCGCCTTCTTCTAATTGATAAATGTTGTCTTCCTTATAAAAAGGTACCTCCTTCCACTGCTTTGGCTGGCCACGAAAGCAGGTACGTAGCAGCAAGAGCATGGCTCGGGATTCTTGAACCAAGGCCGCAATATGTATCAACCTTCTACACAGGACTGAAGATATCGGGGCATACCGGTGTTCCGGTGAAACCAGCGATGAGGTAGCCAGTTAATGCATAGGTACGGTTTACGACGCTAATTGGGCCGTTTACTGTTGAGCTGCTTACTGATTTATGACTTAGCATGACTTAGCATGCAAAGCCCATAGATGACTTCTCGATACTGGCGCGTCAATTTGGGAACGTTCATCGCACGAGGGAGTTGCCAAGCCCGTTGAGATTTATGTAACTCCGCACACGTGATTTTCGGGACTGCCCTGAACCTGAGCATGTGCATAATTTTAACCACTCTAAAATGTTTATGCTGGGTTACGTTCCAGCGACGGGAAGACGGCCATCTGGGTAGCGAGGCCCTTCTTTGGATTACACTCAACGTCAGCGAGCTCTCCTCAGTATTGTGGAAAAAGGAAATTTCTGTTGCTTTGCTCTTTTTCTTTATGAGGTTGAATCCATTGGGACGGCTGCACGGTCAGATCGATCACGGAGCTAGCGTCCGCCTTTTCAATTAAGTTAAGCATACAGTGCCATGAAGTCAATAAGCCAATAGCTTACGTCGCTGTTCCTTTCGCTCTTCCTGTCAAACTGTTAAATTAATTGCTTGGAAGCCAATACTTCTGGACGCGCCTACATGTCTTCTCCAGAAACAATGGTAATACGTCTTACGACATTGTGTTCTTGCGGCCAATGGTTTGCCCTCGGGAAATTTCCCCGTCAGTAACCGCTATTCAGAGGATATATTGCTGCAAATTTCCAACCAGTATACCAGGAAACATATAAGCATTTAAACAGAGCTTAACTTGCTCTGATATGTAGTAGGGCAAGGTGTTGCCGCTCCGAAACCGTTGTCGTTCGTGCTCAGCTAAACGATCATCCCAAGTAAAGCGCGGATGAGGGAAGACGCACTCCCATGACTGAACAGGCTGATATTTCGTCCTCCAGTAGATTAGCAATGGACGTGGAATGCCAGGAGCCCTTGCTGAGGTCAGGACCATGCTGCGCCTGCGTCGCAGGCTACCGTAGACTTTACAATTATTTGCACGCATCTTCTTCTCCGCATTCGTGGTAATTTGTAGGCGCCGTGGCCAGATAATATGCAGCCGCTGTTCAGTGGCACTCTGGTTATGCATGGGTAAGCTGCGACTCGTTTATAGTTCCCCATCTTTTCACCAGGATGTCAGACTACACAATTCCCATGAGACTCTATGTGGCTTCGTGAAACCAGAAGGGGCTTACAGCAACTTGCATGTTAGTGTGTGCGCGCGCTCGTACACAAGTCCACGTGACCAAACTTCCTCTAAGCGCCGTTTCCATCGGCCTAAATGAAGGCGAGCGCGTGCACTTCCTGCTCTCATTTTTTCTCTATGTCGGCTTTTCCCCGTCCTAACTTCCAGTCTCCTGCCCTCCTGGATATTGCCTGCGCTCTACTGTTCCTATGCCCATGCCTATTGGTCCCGCCCTTGACCGGCGATTTGCCAGCCGTCATCTGCCGCACTCAGCTGCTACAGCCTTAAGACATACATACACACCTAGACCTGCCCAGCTCTCTTTCATAAGAAAGACACCTGCTCTCTCCCCCACATGGGGTGACCTCCACAGGGGCTATCCTGGCGTTTCTCATCACCATGACAGCTGTCTTCACAGGCCGAAGCGGCTACGGCGCCAATGTTCATGGCGCCACGCCGTACACGTTTGCCGTACCTTCAGGTACGATATTTCGTAATTGCGAGATACGCAGGGGATTATGCTGGCTTCAAAACTCGTAATGGCATTGTGGCGCGGGTATGTTATCCATTTCCACGTATTTGTGAGGTGAGGCGTCTTGATGCTTTTGTTCGCCTTGGGGAGCTGCGGGTGGACGCAGTAGGGCCGCTCCGTACGGTACGGTACGCGACACGTAACTTGCACTCAGGATGCCAAGGCGGTTGCTGTGCTTGTGTGTGTGCTTGTGTGTGTGCTTGTGTGTGTGCTTGTGTGTGTGCTTGTGTGTGTGCTTGTGTGTGTGCTTGTGTGTGTGCTTGTGTGTGTGCTTGTGTGTGTGCTTGTGTGTGTGCTTGTGTGTGTGCTTGTGTGTGTGCTTGTGTGTGTGCTTGTGTGTGTGCTTGTGCTTGTGTGTGTATGTGTGTGTATGTGTGTGCTTGTGCTTGTGTGTGTATGTGTGTGTGCTTGTGTGTGTGTGTGTGCTTGTGTGTGTGTTTGTGTGTGTGCTTGTGTGTGTGCTTGTGCTTGTGTGTGTATATGTGTATGTGTGTGTATGTGTGTGCTTGTGCTTGTGTGTGTATGTGTGTGTGTGCGCACGGAGAGTGTCTTGTAAGGTGCGGGTTTGGGGAGATGGTTGTTGATGGTCAATGCACCGTTGGCGGTTGTTAGTTGGATCTGGTAGGTTCTACGGTGTGTACTGCGTGTTGTTGTGTGCCTGTGGGCTTCGATTGGGATTTCACGTCTTGTCTTGTCGCGACTCGCAAGCTCTAAACGCAACCACCCCTGTCCCTTCAGGCGCGGTGGCGGGCTGCAAGGACTCGGAGGCGCTGTGTTTAGTGACAAAACCCGTTCCATCACCCGAGCTGGACTATCGAGGACATCCCCGAAAAGTACGTACGACTTGTACGACATCTACGACATTTTCTACGACATTTTGAAACGTTGGAGCTCATGCATTTCCATGCCATGGATTGAGAACACTTCCGCGTGTTGCCGTCATCATCTGTCTATCTGTCAGCCGATCTTCCTGCCTACCTGTCTACCTGCGAGACATCTGCGAGTTACACGGGTGGCCTTGAGAACCAGGGTCATTTGGTCTGTCTGTCTGTCTGTCTGTCTTAAATAATGAATGGCTGCCCAATTCTCTTGTTTGATCTGCCGGCCTGTTTGCCGGCCTGTATGTCCGTCTGTCTGCATGTCCATCTGTCTGCACGTCCGTCTGTCTGTCTACCTGCGAATCCATCTCCCTCATTGTCCGTCTGTCCTCCGCACGTCTGTCCATATGTCGTTCGCCCATCCACACCTGTCGGTCTATCTCATCTGTCGCTGCGTCTGCTTTTGTCTCTGATGTCTGTTCGTCTGTCTCCCTGTCTGTCTTCTCCTCTATGTTTACCTGCGTGTCCGTCTGTCTGTTTATCTAACTGCCTGTCTGTCGTTCTGTCTGTCCATTTCAGTTAGCCACTCCCTCTCACCCGCCCCGTCTCTTTAACCCGTCCCTGGAGCTCTGCAGGTCAACGGCAGCGGGGGGCTGGTCGCGTCGGACCAGAGCCGATGTGCCGATATCGGGGCCCGAGTACTCGAGGTGCCGTACAGGTCTAGGTTCTGTTTGGGGCGTGGGGCGCCTAGGCCCCCGGGGATAGGAAAGGGACAGAAATCAAGGATGGGCATTATTAAATGGCCGGACTTGGAAATGGGGCTCCGGGGCTTCGTACAAGATATAACCGGAACGACGCTTTTGGCGCCTTTGACGGAACTGCTACAGGGGCCTGAAAGCAGGGCGGGCTTAGTCGCATCAGTCTTGATCGATATACCACGGTTAGGTTAACCAACCAGCAACTCAAAACTGAAAACCGAATGCTTGAATGGAACCGAACCTAAGACCGAATCCGTGAATCTTCAACCACCACAACCACCAGAAACGGAATAAGTTCCATTCCTTCCAACCGCCAGGGGAACTATGCGCCTACACAGAGCCGTGGAATAATTTCCCGTTAGCCGTACGTGACTGAAAACTAGTCATGGTCAAAAATACTGCCGTAACCTTACAAGACTCGCGATAGGTATCCTGACCATAACTAAGTTTTCGGTCATCACCGAGAATGAAGAATTTAATTATTTACACTCTCCTGTTAATTTCCTACCCTAAGCCCCAAAAACCAGTAACACGACATTTTACTGTTTCCAATTTTTTCAAATTTAAAATTTCCTTTTAATGTATTTTAAAAACCTCTCACGCCGTCCAACCCGTCTCACGGAATGTTCAACGACGCAGGAGGGCGGCCATGCAGTGGATGCCGCTGTGGCGGTGTCGTTATGCCAGGGAGTGGTCAACCCCTTCGCCAGCGGTGTGGGCGGCGGCCACTTCTCCCTCATCCGCCTGGCCAACGGGAGCGCGGAGTTCATCAACGCCCGCGAGGTGGCGCCAGGTGCCGCTGGCCCGGACATGTACAACGGTAGGGTCGCGCGCAACAACCTGATCCACTCTTTGAATCTGTGTGGTCAGCAAGGCTTTATGAATACCTGGGTTAGGAGGATGAAAACAGTCCGCTGTGTGGCTGTATGTATGTATGTAAACACATAGGTACGGCTGAATGACCGAATCGGTTACTGCGTGGATCTCCCCACCACACACACGCACTTGTGATATATCACATCGCCTCCTCCTGAAGAAGCAGCAAATCGTTACGGATGCCGTCAAGGGCAGTACCCGAAAGCGCTTTCTCGGTTTCGGCGTGAGGACCGCGATACCGCACTTGGGGCCTCCCCCTCCCCCTCCCTTAGGTGACCTTCTCGCGCAGGCGACCGTTGCGCCCCCCTCTGGACCTTTAGTTGGGGACTTAAACAACAATAGATAGGCCCTTTAAAGTTACAACAAGTTACAAGTTACAAGTTCCGCACACAAGTGCGGGTGTGTCCGTAAAAGCCGGGGGGGCCATGGACGTTGTATTGGTATTGATGCGGGTACGCGGGAGGTCATCTTCATTCTCCCTCGTCCGCTTCAGGGCGAAGCACCTCAGCGCGACGTGCCTGGCCGCCCAGATTTCCGAGAGGTACCTGGCCAATGCCAGGGGTGGCGCCTCAGTCATAGTGGTGCGCATGCTGCGCCCCGTAAGGACTAGGTCACCATCATACTTAGCCCGTATGCTCTTGTAAGCGGGACATTCTTCGAAAACATGCAACTCATCTTCAACCGCTCCACAGTCACAAAGCCTGCAGGTACGCGCGGTGCGCTCACGCCCATTAGGTCTATTAACCTCTAACTCCTAACAGCCTAACCGAAAACGCATGAGCACATGATGAAGTCGCTGGGGCATGGTCCCTTTAGTGTGCTCCAGCCAATCAAGACGCGCACCCCTTGACGGGGCAGCTCCCATCCAGTTCATATAGCGACACGCCTTGGCTCCGGTAATTCCTATGGGGAAGACGCGGGGGTCACCCAAGGTATTCGGGCACTCCCACCGAGCATCAAGCCGCTTGGCAAAAACCTTAAGAATGCTCTCGACTGGCAATTTAAGGGTGGTGTAGTACGATATAAGATCATTACCGCGCGTATTAGTGGGGGGCTCCACTCCTAAGCTAGTAAGAAAGGCTAGTACCTTGCTTGCCCAACACTCAGTGGCGCCCCCAAGTGCCAACTCCAGGTCAGCGACAAATGCCCGGTGACACAACGTTCCCGGCCTCTTAACCACAGAGTTCCAAAACCTAAGTACAAGATTGGTCCAATGGAACTGGAGTGGCCTCTGTGACAGCTCGCGATATAGGGAAACCATAGTCGGGCTCCTCGCCCCAACTACGGTTCGCATGTAAGCACGTTGTTCCTGGACCATGGGATTAGCCATAGCACCTTCAAAATTCACATTAATGAAGTCAGGTCCCCAAACTTGCGCTCCATAAGAAAACACCGGTACAACTAGTGTATTGTAGAGAGACATACATAGCTTGGGGGTGGTAATTTTCTTATCACGACACAGGGTGCTGAGCCCAAATGTGGCCCGCCTCCCTGCTGTGAGTAGTTGCTTGGTACAAGCTGAGAACTGCACTCCTGGGCCATAGTGCAACCCGAGATACCGTGCCGTCTCGTTGCCGGTCAGGACCCGCAACCCCGCCCCACCTAACCGGTACTCAGCTTCCATAAGCCGCTTCCGCTCACGCGTAGCACCCCCAAAAATGAGGACCTCGCACTTGGCGGCATTCGCGGCCATACCCGTCGCTTCGCAGTAGGCTTCGAGTAGCCCCAGAAGGCATTCAGCTCTATCGTGCCCTGTCGCTACCAGTGACACATCGTCAACGAAAAGTAGGTTAGTGAGATCACCGCCCGCCAGGCTAACACTCTGCACACGAAGGGTGCTCCATCGGCTGGGGAGGCATACACGGCAATTAGCATCATGGGCATCAATTAATGAGCGAATACTTCTATGAAGAGCCCAAAAAGGGTTACGCTAAGGGGACACCCTTGCTTAACACCACGCCCCACCTTGAATTCAGGTCCCAACTTATTTCCTAACTTGACCCGAAACTTCACGTCAGCATAGCTAGCCTTTAAAGAATCGAGGATGCGCCCGTGTAGCCCATACGACATTAGGAAATCCCAAAGTGTCTCATGGTCAACGGAGTCGAACGCCTTACTAAAGTCAATTTGCATGATAATAAGCGGCCTGGCTCCGGCCACAGTGTGCTTCGAGATAAGATGCCTTAATGTAAACAAGTGATGCTCGGTGCCAAAACCATGCCTACATCCAGCCTGGCTAACGGCACGTAGCCTATTGCTCTCACAGTAATTATTTAATCGCCTCCCTATGATATTGGCATAAAGTTTGCTCAGGGGACCCCCAACTGCAATTCCCCGGTAATTGTCACAGCAAGACACGTCCCCTTTTTTGAATACGGGGGACAGGGTGCTAGTCGTGAATTCCCTCGGGTATTCAGCTCCGTATATGCGGTTGAATAGCACCGTTAAGTAAGGCGCCAATACAAGCACGGGTTGCTGCCCTTCAGTTTCCCTGATAGCGTACTTATAATACTCGGCCGGGGTTCCCTCCAGGCCCGCGGACTTATTGTTGCGCATAGCCTTAAGGCCACTAGCAATTTCATCCTCCGTAAAATCCTCGTTAAGCCAAGCAGCTAATTCCCGTCTGTGCGTCACCTGGTCCTCGTCCAGCCATCTAAACTGAATACCCTCATTGCGGCATTGCCTCGTCTCTCCCGTACCATTAAGCACCTTGGAAAAATGCTCGGTAAAAGCATTAATATCTGAGATCCCGCAAGGAGGTGGTTTTCCCCCACGCAGCCATGTCCACAATCCGCGTGGGTTGAACCGGGCGTCCTTAATCCTCCTCCGCATATCTTCCATTTCAAACTCCTGAATAGCGGCCTTCCTAGCCTTTTTAAAGGCACGGTGCTTGGCCTTCCAGGTAGTCCTATGTAAATAGGCCCTAACACCGATAATAATAATACCATATCACCCGCCACTTCATATGCCTCTTTTAGCCTTGTTTGCGTATATGCAAACAAACACGTATGATATATTTCTTTTCTTTTCTTTTCTTTTCAGTACATAGAAAATAGAAAACAGTCCACATAAGCGCCGCTCTGTTCTGCCTGATTAGGCAAGCCCCAATACGCGTCACTGGACGGCGGACTGGCCATTGCGGTACCTCTGGAACTGAAGGGACTGGAATTAGCTTGGCGCCGCCACGGCCGCCTGCCTTGGGCTCGATTAGTAACGCCCGCCGCGGACATTGCACGACACGGCTTCGCGGCACATCCGTACTACGTGTACGTCGCCACGGGGAGCTTTACGTTCAATCGACTCAAGGTGCCCCCCCCCCCCGGGGAGATGGGGCGTGATGGGCAGGGGGAGGGGTGGGCAGGGGGAGGGGTGGGGAGGGGGAGGGGTGGGGAGGGCTGGATAAAAGATTTTTTATACGACGCCCTTATAAATAGGTGGGCCAGATGGGTCCAGGGTGACTTCCGGGTTGGCTGTTGTGATTGGAGCGGGGGGGGCCATAGGGGTACCGTAAGTGGTGTTGTAGTGTGTTGTAATAGCTACTGTTGTGTTTATTGAGCTGCTTGAGTGTTAGGACTTTTGCGTTGTCCTATGTCCCTAATCTCTAGCTTGTGACTTTAAGGCTCTTGGGGCCCCTCCCAGGGCTCGTTTGGGCACTTGTTACACGTCTCTATCTGGGTAACGCAACCGAGGTGTCACACACAGAGACACACACACATACACACACACATACACGCACATACACACACATGGCTGGGCTTTCAAATGTTTTAACGGCGCTTAATACACCGTAAACGCTCGAAATGCTCAGGACAGCCCCCAATTGACGATTTACACACGAATTAGAGAAACAACGGATTCCGGTTTTGCTGCGTGAATGCCCCCCTGGCCACCTTGGCATCCCGATGTGCCCCCTCACCCTCCCCCTCTCCCGTACTGGTGACCGCTGGTCTCAGAGCGACCCCCTAACGGCAGATGCCTTTTTGATTCGCGACCCACGGGACGGTTCTTATCGCGCCCCGCGGGTGGGCGAGCTGTGCTGCCGCCGTCCCGCTTTAGCGAATACACTGGACGCAGGTACGTGCGCGAGTAGGGGTCGAAGAGCAGATGGCCGGTTGGGTCAACTCCGAGAGGCTGATACCTGTGTCGATGATTAGTAGGCAGCCTGGTTTGGACGAGATCTCGAACGCAACTTTTCAACGAAGCTACGCAACATTTTCGGATGCGGATGTCTGGAAGGTCCAGGTCCAGGTCGAGAAGAGATGTTTGCATGTCGCGAAAAGTTTGTGGAATTAAGTTTACCTTCGAAAATGAAGTTATAATAATAAGGATAATAATGTATTGTCCAGTCACATTAGATGGCGGAATAAACTTCAAAATTTTTGAATTTTGGACTTGGACTTGAATCTTGTCAAGGAAATGGTTTTGGCGGGAAAGCCACCATGTGGCGTGTGTCCTTGTGGCGAAAGTGCCCTTACGTTGGTCACAAAGCACACCGCCGTACCCCGCCGTACACAGTGGCCAAGTACGGCGTTTCATGGTTGTACGAACCGGAGCGGCTGGAGCGCATGGCGGCAGAGATTAAGGCCGCAGGGGGCATCGTCACGGCAGCGGACTTCCAGGTTTGTCGTACTGTGCATTGCAGCATGTCGTACATGCCGTAACGCGCAAAATAATGGTTCCCAGCAGTGCATTAAGAGGGGAGCTTTACCGCCACCACTCCGTTGCATTCCCGGCGCCACGCGTACGAGGTGTGTGTGTGTGTGTGTGTATGTGTGTGTATGTGTGCGTGTATTTTGTTGAAAGCAAAGCCGCTTCGAGGAGCGACAAGTCCCTGGGCGAGGGCGGAGGAGCGCAGAACAACAAGAAGAAGGAAAGAAGGAATATAGGAGGTCGGGTCGTCCAACCCGGCGGGAACCACCCCCCGGGTGTTCGTCGTACGGGGAGATGAGCTCGTACATGCGTCGTTTTGAGTTAAGGAAAGGGTGATTGCTTCGGCGGTGGCGGAACCGTGGCCACCACGATCCACATCTGACCACCGGGCGATGGCTCCCAACACACACATGCCCCCCCTCCCCCCTCCCCCCTCCCCTGGATCCGCCCCGGCCAGTGTGCGGTAATGTAGAGTTGGATTTGCCATCATTTCGCCACATTGCAGAACACTTCCCCCCCGCGCGCTGCGTGGCATGGCACCCCCTTTCCACGTAGGCTGCAGAACCGCGAGTGGAGACTCCCCTGACGTACACACTGCCGGGCCCAGTGCCGTACAAGCTGCTCGTTCCGCCACCGCCCTCCAGTGGTGCCGTACTATTTCTGGCTCTTTCCATCGTACTGGGGTACAACAGCAGCCTAGACCAGATGGGCCCTATGCTGGCAGCGCATCGCCAGGTGGGGTCTCTTTCGGGGATTGGGATGAGGGGTGGGTGGAAATGTCTGCAAGCACCGATAGGTTGGGGATTTGAGACGGGTACCTGAGCAGCGGGCAGGAGCTGGCGAGGATGGCAGACCAGTGTGTTTTGTGTTTTGCGCACACATACATACATACATTAGGCAGGCGGCTGGCAGAAGTTAAGGCCTGACTTCTGCTCCCGGAGGTTCCGGGTTCAAATCCGCCTGCCCACTCCTCGGTGTTTGAGGGGTGTTGAATTGGAAGGTGGACCCCCATCTTGTGGACGGTGTACGACGTGATTATATCAACTTGTGAGCTGACCAGGAACTAAGTTGATGCGCCGTTGATCCGCCAGATTTGGTTGGATGCTGGTGGTGAGTTGCTGAACCCAACGAATACATTCTGAAATCGGATGGGGTGAATGGATTAGGGTGCCCGAATCGCAGGGGAGAGCAGGGAACTGCCTCGGCAAAGGGGGCCGCTGGTGGAGCTATACCACCCTGTAACAATCATACATACATACATACATACATACATACATACATACATACATACATACATACATACATACATACATACATACATACATACATACATACATACATACATACATACATACATACATACATACGTACGTACACACGCGTGTGTCATGTACAGGTAGAGGCGATGAAACACGCCTTCGCGGTTCGCAACGCCCTCGGGGACCCGGGCACTCAGACCCGTCCGTACACTGACGTGTCTGCCGTACTATCGGACATCGCTGACCCCTCCTTTGCTGAACGGCTCAGGTGGGGTTTTGGTTTCGGAGAGTGCATATCGATCCAAATAATCGTACAGGGGCCTCACTCGCCCTACCCTTCGGAGTTCACGATAAGACGTCGCCACAATGTGTGTGTGTGTGTGTGTGCATGTATTCTATTGACATTATATTTGACGTTATTTTTTCCTTCCGATGAAATGTACGTACTTTCCAGGTTGGGCGAGAGCTGCTGCGATGTGTGTGTATGTGTGTGTGTGTGCCTCTGTGTGTATGTGTGTGTATATGTGCCTGTGTGTGTATGTGTTGTTGGGAGCTTCTTGGGAGGTGGAATGGGGGAGGGAATGGAGGTTAGGGATGAAGATGGCGATGTCGGTGCCCCTGTTGGCGTTACACAGCTTTAGCTTTAGCCGAGCCCCAAGCTTGTTCCCCTCTCGCCCGCAGGTCTCTCATCAACGACTCCTCCGTACTGCCACAGACGATGTACGGCGGCCGTTGGAATCCGATGGTGTGTCGGGGAATGTGGCTGGGGGATCTTCAACGGGCTCAACGGGTTTCGGAGCACCTGCCCTCCCGTATCACTGCCCAGGCAGTAGCCACTTGTAATCTGTCCTGGGGAGCTGTTGCTGATGTAGTTGGATGTTGCGGTGGTTGAGTTGGTTGCGGTTGCGGTGGTGTGGTAGTTGTGGCGGATATGGTTGTGTCATGCGCTTTCATTTCTTAGCTCCAGGGGGGGTGTTTCAGTTTCACGCAGCTTCCTCCTCTACGACGGGAGCTGGTAGACGACCATATATAGAAGTGGTCATCGTGTTGGACCTCCTTCTCCTTCTCCTTCTTCTTTCTTCTTTTTCCTTCTGGGGGATTAGGGGGATGAGGGGATGAGGGCGATGAGGGGATGAGGGGATGAGGGCGATGAGGGGGATGAGGGGGATGTCAGTAGCTCCCGCAGCTCCCGCTGTATAACCTCGATAGTCTCATAGTCAGAGTGACAACGCTGTCCCCCGGCACCAAGCTGCAAAATGTCCCTTCTTGTCCCAACGCCATTCCCCTCCTCCTCCTCCTCCTCCTCCTCCTCCACCTCCTCCACCTCCACGTCGCGGTGGATGAAATGAAGTGAACGGTGCTATCTCTCGCTACTGTACCTCTAAAGCTGTTTTTCGAATAAAGCTGTTGTTTCGAATTTTCAACTGACCTAACTGTCCAACCACCTAACCGCTAACCGCAGGCCGTTGGCGTCAGCCCCGAGGATCACGGCACCAGCCACCTGGCGGTCCTGGACGCGGAGGGAAACTCCGTGTCCATGACCACTACTGTAAATACGGCATTTGGATCCAACGTTATTTCAAAGTACGGAATTTATTTTTGTTCTTAACAGGAGTTCTGTTTCGCATTTTGTCTGGGATGTTCGTTCACATCCCCCCCCCGCCCATTCCCTTCCTCACCTGGGATGCACGTTGTGTTTTCAGTCAGTTGCAAGTGTACCGTACGTGTGCCGTACCTTCACGCAGAATCCCTTTACACTTAACTCAATGACCTCCCGAATAGTGAATCCTGCCAACTCTTGATTCCCTTAAAACGTCGTGCTGCTGCTTCTTGCCGCGCGCGTACACTCGTACACACACATACACACACATACACACACATACACACACATACATACACACATACATACACACATACACACACATACACACACGCACACACATACACACACACACTCTTACACATCCCTATATGTGCACATACGCACTCCCAAACTCGCCGGCAGGTCCACGGGGATCTTGTTCAACAACGAGATGGACGACTTCAGTCGGAGTGATACCGCAAATAAGTATAGTCTGCCTCCTGCCGGTACGTCACTTCTTAGACAGTTGGGCGGTTAGACGATTAGACAGTTACGAGCTTTAACGCCTGATTGTGTGTGGGCGTTACGTGTAAAACATAATGTTCTTGATTATGCAGGCATGAAAATGGACTGTTAACCGTTTTACCGTTGTAGCCGTCATTGTCCAACCGTACCACCCTCCCTGTTCTCGTTGCAGCTGCGAACTACATTGCGCCCTTTAAGCGGCCTTTGTCGTCCATGTCACCATCTGTCGTACTGGATCCAAACGGGCAGTTGCGGATGGTGGTTGGGGCCAGCAACGGCCCGCGTATCGTCACGGGCATCATGCAGACCCTCCTCAGGTGGGCCTCGCCCGCCAAGTGATCCGTCCATCTGTCTGTATGTAGGTCCTGGAGTGAACTGATTATTATATTGGACATAATGTTTATTCCCCCGGCCAACAAACCCTATGCAACGTTATAACCCCCTAAAATTCAGGATTCTGTACGGCGGCATGGATCCTCTTCGTGCCGTATCCGAATCCCGGCTCCACCACCAGTGGGAACCCAACCGCTGCCTGTACGAGAACTTCACCCTTAACGGAGTTACCTTTGCACCAAATCCCGAGGTTATTGCCAGTTTGGCGACAAAGGTAATTGTTGTAATCTGGATGTGGACGAGTTTTGAAGCAGAGCAGTTTTGAAGAAGAAGTTTCCAGCAGCGTGAAAACAATTCTGTATTGTCGCTAATTTATTCTTATCTTATTCGGGAATTGGAGTTCTCCGCAATTTTTTTAAAGCTTCGTTGAGATGTAATGTGTTCTATCATGCTCGCGTGCGGGATGGCAACCTCAACCCAAGTTCAAGTCCGTCCACGGACTGTAGCATGTAGCATGTTATTTGATTTTTGACTTTTGGACACGACAGACGTATATACTGTCTATGTGCCGGAAACACCTCATCGCTTCGCAGGGAATACATCCTAGAATGTTGAACCGGCCTTCCATTCCTCCTAACGTTTAGGTGGTGGTGATGGGGGGAAAGAAACAGTATCATACAGCGGGGCTTTTTATTTTGCCTGTTTGGAAAATAGCCACACTGGGTGGGAGATGCTTTCCGGTATACCTGAAGGACAGATCTGTCGCTGGGCATCGCAAAGCTGCTGAGTTGTCGTACATATTGTACGAGATGTCTGCATGTGTGGGCCAACCGACTAGGTGGTGGAATCATTAGGGGGGGGAGGAGGGAAGTTACAACCCAGCCAACATGACCCGCCACAGAGAAGTTAATTCCACGAAAACGCCTTGTTACCTAAAAGACCGTGAAATCACCAAAAGGAAAGACGAAGGGGGACAACCTTTGGGCTTCGGCCTACTAAGTGAATAAGCGTATAGCTAATAGCATATGTTTCCTCATTCACTACCGCTCACAATGAAACCATGTGCGGTATGTGCAGGGCTTATTACTACTATAAAAAATGGGCAAAGCGCCGGACTCCGGAGTCCGCGGGTCCTACTACCGCTGTCACCATTCCGGATGCATATGTATGTCGGTCACTTTCCAACACGTGTTATGCAATATGGCCGCGGTGTCCTCCGGATGGGGGTCGTCGTACAAAGACCCCGTTCTCGTCCTCCCTCTCACTGCGTGATGATGTACTGACGGTGATGATGTCGTACTGTACCGCTCGCCGCATACAGGGAGACAACATGGTGTCGTACGATGATCAACTCGGCGACGTACAGGCGATTGTCGTGGACTGGGTTGGCTCCGGTGGCGGCGGGGGGACTTCGTCCACGTCATCCCCCCTCCCCAGGATGAGCGCCACAGCGGTCGCGGACCCGCGGAAGGACGGTGCACCGGCCGCCGCCGCGGCGGCATGAGGGACAGCAGGCTGCTGACTGGCTGCCGAGTGGGGGGTGCACGAGTGAGCGACAAGTCACACATGATGTGCGGAATTCAACAGGTCAAAAGTCAAGAGGAGCTGACGAGAGATCTGTGAAGAGCAGTTGGCGAGCCGTCTGCTGTTCTGTCCGTTTCCTCTACTCTTCCTTGCAAGGACTCCTAAGGACTCTGTGTGTGTTGGGGGGTGTTTGGGGGGCCTTAGGCGGCGTGTGTCGCTTAGGAGATGGGAAGGGATTTGCAACTGTATCGATCCATCTTTTGGCTTTTCTCTACCGTTTTCTTTATTTTCCCTGAATGACTGAGTGAGGGAGGGCTACTGGCTAGCTAGTTGCGCTGTGCGGCGTCGGCTTTGTGCGGAGGTTGTCCAGCCATCTATTTGCAACAGGGTCTTTGCGTGAGCGAGCGAAAGAGTGTGTGTGTGTGTGTGTGTGTGTGCGTCTGTAAATGTGTATGTACGTATGTGCAGTATTCAACCTGCCTTTGTCCTTGGACTCCCATCCTTCTTGTCTGTGTTGCGCCGTTTTGTGCTTTGTCGCTGTCGCCCTTCTTTGTGACTTTCTGCGTTTTTCTCTAGTCTTACCTCGCCTTTCTCTTTTTGGCTGCTCTGGTGCTGCTGCTTTATTTTCCTCCTTCGCTTTTCTTTTCTTGCCGGAGATCTTGATCGTGTGCACGGACGATAGATGTTCCCGAGTGGAACTGCTGATGAACAGGCCATTACCAGAAAGTGTGGTATTGGAGTTCAAGGACCGATTGGTGAGTGGTTGGAAGCATACGCGTCTAGATGTCCAGCCAGACGTGTACCCGTCAGACGGCAAGCAACCAGGAATTCACATGGCGAAGTATTAGTATTGGATGGGTCCAGCGGCCGAGCAAGCGAGCAGGAAGGAGGTACTCCGCATATCACATTTTTTATCCCGCGTTCAACGAGTCGCAAGCTTATGCAGTTTAGGCTTTGCTGTTGGACATTGGCGGCTAACAGAGCACGTGAGGGACGGCGTTATATACCTAGGCGTTATATACCTAGGGAGGAGCGAGTATGCCCCTGCTGCGGCACTGATAGCCATATTGAAGATGAGAAGCACATTTTGCTGGACTGTCCGGTGTACGACATTTTCAGATCTGATATGGATTTCCCATGCTTCGAGCATATGAAAGATGCTATGAGGTGGGAACCTGAACGTCTGGCAAGGATGCTGGAACGTATATGTCCCACCGCAACTCTATCGTTCCCTTTGGACATTTAAGTCTCCTTAATCACTTGCTTTGTTTGAAGTGCGAGGTAGAACAGTGCTTAAAGGCGATCTGGCAGCCCTTGAGCCCTCGGCTCGTATTGGGCGGGATGCCGGTACGGGAAACGCACCCCACGACCATGTAACGCACACATACACACAGATGTTCCCGGGTCATGCATGTGCCCCATATACCTGTAATTTTGGTGTTGAGTCTGAATGGGTTGGGTGGGTACACACGACATTTGCTGGTGGTTCTTTCCCCGCTGGTGGTGCTGGTCCCCGTTCAGCTTCCCGCCGGACTTCCCGCCGGACTTCCGTGGTGGCGGTCTTGCTTCCATTTCCCACGCTCTAATAATTTTGAAACCCTCCCCCCGGGGAGAGAAAAAACAGAAAAAAATATGTCATCTAAGTTTAACTTCCGTTCTGTCCGACAAGTCAGCAAATCTCAGGAATCTCAGAAATGCATCGTCTTTGGCCTTGAGAGCAAAGCCGGTTGCCTAGTTAGGCTATTTATTTTACTCGTGCGAGCTCTCGAGACGGTTCGTGAGCCCTAGTTACCTCACCTGCCTGTTCCTGCTCCTCGCTCAGCTGCCGGGGTTTCAGCAGGGGTAGGTAGGGGACTTGCTGCTGGCTTGCGCAGTCAGTATTAGTTGGGCCGGTGTTGCATTCTGCTTCTTAAATCTGGTCCCAAACTGACAGAACATGTTCTGTCTAGTTTTTCCGTTTTCGCTTGGCGCGGTTGCTGGATAAGTTCCCGTGAAGATACTGAATTCCGACTGCCTATTTTGTCGCCTTTCTGTCAGATCTTATGGCTCCGACCTCTGGGTCAGACGGCGAGCGGGAAGCTGTCATGGATGCCTACGAGTAAACGCCACATCAGGCGGAATTCCATACTTGCAGAAGTATGGGCGGGGGTCGTAGCACAGGCTACGACTGGGACGCTGGTCCCTGGCTCACAGAGCCACGTCATCGATTGGAAGCAGGTATGGATCAACGGTACGCCATTCCGGGACTGGACCGCGCCATTCCGGAACTGGCTGTACGATTCATGGGATGGCCGCATCCCCGCTATTTCAGCGGACAAAACTCTTCCAATCGGTGTCTTCGGGGTTTTAGGGTTTTAGGGTTTTGGGTTTACGCCACCATCCAGTTGTGGTTTGGTTAGATACAACAGCCGGGCAGGGCTGCTGCCTGCGGTTTTGGAGTCAGCAAGTGATTAGCTGCTGTCAACGAACATGCATCATCGTGGTGGCGTGAATAGGTAGGTTCCTCTGTGTCGTACGTTCTCTTGGGGCCACGTCACGGATGGTTCTCTTGTTCAGCGGAGGGAAATGGAAAATGATCTTTTCTTTTCCCCGAAATTATCTTCATGGTCTGATCCCCTGAAGCCCGACAGAAAACCCCCGCACGTGCTATGTGCTGGGCAGTCCAAGAGTACATACCCTCCGTCTTCCACATCGTGTATTTAGCCCATGGCCCCCCTCAGGCTTTGACGGACAAACATCCCCCACATTCATGCGGAATTTGTAAAACTCGTAGCTTGGGGGCCGCAAAACTTCCAGATCCTATGACCATGTGCGATCTCCCCCATAAGCTCTATTTGCCCATAGCGGCCAGCAAAACATAAACGAAAACGCATTAGCGACCGGATCATATTCTAACAAAAGGGATAAACATACCGGCCTGCGCCAACCAGCAGCTGTTCACCACCCTGCTGCTCTCTCAAACGGCAACTGCATCCAGTGCTTGTGCTTAGCTTTTACAGCTTTTACTTGGCTTTTACTGACAACCCCGCACGTGTGTGTGGAATTGCAGCTTGTAACATGTTTGTGTTTAGCGATTTTAATGCCTGGTTGCCTCCCTTCCGAGGGAAAGTCGTGTGGTACTGCGGACAGCCTCTCATCAGGGCGCCATGTCGACATGAAACGGTACCCCCGGAGCTCAGAAAGGATTGCCCCCTTCGAGATGGGTTTTCCGGTGTGCACCCACTCTGCCTTGCTATTATCGCTTGTAGCCCCCAGAAGGCAATCCGTCCCACACATCAAAATGACAGCTCCCGGAAAGCGGAACAGCTTGGACGCCTCCAGCCATTTCTGAGTGGTTCTCTCTCCAACACGAAGAGGACCTCCTGGCGTAAGAGTTGTGTGCGCGAGGGACCCGGGATGTCTGTCACGACCTTAATCCAAAGGCCGATAGCACATTTGGCCCAAACGCAGTGCCGGGGAAGTTGTGAGAGCTCAGCACACAGCAGGCTTTGCAGGGGCTGTGCAGCTCCTACGATTCCGCACAGGAGCATTACCTGCAGCTTCACATAGGGTCATAAGCCTAGATACCGGGCGCCCTGCACAACAGGGATGGCCTCTCCGCCCCCTCGCCTACCAACAGCAGGCCCGCACAAGTGCTAGGCACGCGTCTTCCACCTCCTTGTAGCGATGAGCAAAAGCCATGTCTGTATGCACTACTTTGCAAGCCTATCTGGGCGCAAACCGCGTGCCGAACGGACTTGCCGACGTTGCCGCGGGCTTATAGTAAAAATTCTTGAGTTTCAAGTGCTAATTGATTTTCCGGCCTTTGAGCCGTTTGAAGTTTTGCCGTTTTGTTACAATATCACGAGCTTATGTGCCCCAATGAGCCAAGAGTCTCTAGGGGCGCCGAGCTGGAAACGGAAATTACAAAAAATAGAGACCTGAAAACCAAATCTTCACCTGTAGATAGTGTAATTCGGTAGGATTCGGCCGAGCTGGCTCGGATTTGAATTGAGATTTGAATTGGGATTCGATTTGCTTATGTGAACGCGTGATCTATGGATCATACCTTTCCTGACTTTAGGGGAAGGCCATTCGCGGTTCCCAAAACGTTCCCAAAACATCCCAAAACAATAAGACCACACCGAGCTCAAAAAGATGGGGGCCCTTGTGAAGCAGCTGCCCGCGTTTCCAAAGCACGTATGGTGATGTGGAAGGTGCGGAAGTACGTCGGTGAAATATAATGTGGTAGGACTGGAGAGAATAGTGTAGCAGTATAATGTATTGTGAGTGTAGCTGAAGCTTTCATCGTGGGCGCGTCTCGTTGCAAGCTAAGCAACGCGTATACATGACGTGTAGCATCAGTCCTCAGTTCACTTCTTGTAACGAACATCAGCATAGGTCCAAGCCCTCTCGCTTGGAGGGATATATGCAAACAAACATCCTGATAGGTAAACTCGCATGCTACCGAGCATTCAACCGAGCACATGCATGCTTAGTTGAATGGTGAGATGCGACCCCCCTTCATTTCGTGCTCGGCAAGCCTGCCACCGCGTACCGGATATGTTGGCGATGTTACAGAGATGCTGCACCTTGGTTTCTGTGCGCAATGCATACGATGCTCGACCCCGCCGACCAAAACTACACGTGCCCAACTGAAGACACACCGGTGGTTGTGCAGCAGCTCTTGAGGCTTTGTTGGCTGAAATCCAGCCTGAGACGCTGCACCTCGGTACCTGTGCGCAATGCGTACGCTGCTCGCCCGCGCCGACCAAAACTACATGTTCCCATCTGAAGACAATGCCTGTGGTTCTTAAACAGAATTTGAGCTTGCTGCTGGCTCAAGTCCTTCCGTAGTAGCTGCAACACGGCTAACGCAGGCACGGCCGAATGCGCTGCGAAAAGCTGTTCCAAGCCCTCAGCGGCATCCATTTTACTTTGCAGGTTCTGAACGACTTTCGCGATTCTTCTCTTTACCTAATTCTGCGTTGTTATTATTTATTTCGTAAGAGTGTAACTTGAGTTTAGTCGGAACAATGTGCATTATGCGCTGCGCTACCGAAAGCAGGCGCCTTATGGCTGATTCTTAGCCGACCGCTTCATCTTCCGCGGCAGTTTCACGAGCCCAGAGTTGCAAGCTAGGACGTTGGCATTCGGTGCTTTCAGTTACTGCAAAGCATCCAGGCAATAGTCCAGCATGCATGCCGCGTGCGGCTATGGCCAACATGCCCACTTGCGCAAGGCGCTGGCGCACGTGGTCCTCATCCGCCAAGAAAATTTATATACACTTGTACAGGCGCATTTTGTGAATCGCACGCGCGCATCTGCGCGGCAAAATTCGCTCCTGGAATTTTTGGACGATGTACGGATGTTTTTTCGCGAAGTACGACCGGACACATTGTGAAGCAGCTGCCCGCGTTTCTAAAGCCGGTATGTTGTTGGATAGTAAGTTGCAGAATGGGGCCAGGCTGGAGAGGCAAGTGCAGTGGCATAATGGAATGTAGATGAGTAGAAGCTGTTTCCAGGGCGCTTGGCGCACGGCACAATGTACATGCAGTCATGTCGTCACACGCGCGTATGCAAGAACAACAGGAACAACAACCAGAAGAACAAGAACAGCACCACAGGAACAGCGCGTGCACAGGCCACGTTGCGTCGGTCCTTTGCTATGATGTAGGAACGAAGAATAAGGCCTAGGTTCAAGTTTCCTGTTGCGCGTGGATGGCCATGCCAGAACAGGCAACATGATGGGTGAACTCGCACGCTACCAACTTGCCCCCGAGCACGCGACGAGCGGACTTAGAAAGGAGCGCAGCGGGCCCCCCCCTTTCCCCCAACGCTCACGCAATAGACCATCCCAAGCGCTGCTGTCCGTATGGGCCGCAGCCGCCGTTCACACACGAGTTAAGTCCGACATGTATGCACCGTGAATGAAACCCCAAGTGTGATCGTGCCCAAATACAACAGCACTGCCCAATGTCCAGAAGCCTAGCGCCGAAATCGTGGGACCCTGTCCGTCAAGCGTTAGGTGTCCAGTTGCTGTGTGGGCTAGGCGAGCGTGGCTGGGGCGTCATCGTCTTGGACTGTCACGGCGGTGGGCGTGTGGGTGCTGCCGGCGCGTTGCCGGCTCATCGCGTAGAAGGCCGGGCTGGCGGAAGGCGGCCCGCGCAGCACATTGTAGCCGCCCGGCCCCCGGGCCTTGAACTGCGCGATGTAGAGGGCCTCCATCTTTTGGGCCAGAGCAGGATTGGCGGTGCGCAAAGCGTATGATGGTCGACCCCGCCGGCTAAAGCTACACGTCCCCAACTGAAGATATTCTCGGTGGTTTACCAGCAGGTGTTGTGCTTCTTGCTGTCTGATGTCCTGAACGCCTCCTCTTCCCGCAGCCGTTTCAAGCGCCCAGTCTTGCAAGCTACGTTGTATGCTTTCATATCTTTTCATATCTTATTCAGCTCAGCCTAAGCAGCCAGCCAAAAGTCCGAGATGCATTCCGTTTGTGCGGCCAACATGCCCTGATGAGCGGCCTTTCGCCGAAAAAATTACATACACTTGTACAGGCGCATTTTGAGAATCGCACGCGCGCATCTGCGCGGCAAAATTCGCTCCTGGCTTTTTTGGGACGAGTGTACTTAGGCTTTATTCGCGAAGTACGACCGGACACATTTGTGCGAGGGGCTGCTTAAAAATACACCGCAGAGCGAATCTTCCATTCTCCGTATACTTTTTAGGCCGAACCTCTAGAGTAACCCAACTGACAGGTAACCCAACTGACCAGTAACCCAACTGACCGGTAACCCAACTGACCGGTTAACGTGTCTTTATCGATCGTTAACCGGTCAGTTCGGTTAATGAACCCGGTAGTGTTCAAAACGGTCGGTAACCAACGTGTTTATGCCATAGGATCTGGATGACCTTGCCCTCATCCGTCCTGCCCACCATTGCCCACACCATTGCCCACTGCCTCAACGAGAGGACACAGTCCACCGGGACTTTAACCGCAGAGCCTTTAGGCCCCGCTTGGCTGCGTTAGGCGGCCACGGTAACGGAAACAACAGCACGTTTTCCTACAGTCGTTCCACTGCTGCCACTTTGCACAGCACCCTGGCCACTTTTTCGAATAGCGAGTGAGTTTATGTGAAGGAGGAGGCCCGGCTTTGTTGCTGCTAACCGTCACGCTTCCCCCATTCAATGATCCCGGGTGAAAGCGTCCAAGCCCTTTAGTCGCCCGAGGGAACAATCCCTAAGGCTGGGTTGCTACAAAAAGGAAGCTGCACGGTACCAGGCAACCAACAATACATTGGGATTCAGGGAAATACCTAAGAGTCTAGTCTGGTGGCACCACTTCATAACGGGGGTATGGGATTTATAGTTAGCTGCTGAGGCTTAAACAGGTGAGGTTACAGTTGATGGACTGGACAACCGCTGCTGGATTGGTGGCCAGTGCTGAACCCTCTGTCTCTTCGGATGTCCGGGTGACTGGATGAGGAGGAGCCTTGATTAGGACCCCAAACCGCCTTGAACAGTCGTAAGGCGGATAGGACTTCCAACATTTATCCATGGCCCCCGGGCTTTGGTGGACATTCCCCGCCTTCGTGCGAAACATCTAAATCTTGTAGTTTTGCGGATCTTTCTAGGCCCGCTGGGGGGGCCTAGATCGCATCTTTTACTGAAAGAATGCATGATGCTGGCAGACGTACGTGCATCGCCTCCCAGACACAAATTTTCCGTAGTTGCGCGTCGGTACGTCCTCCCAGACACAAAATTTCCGTAGTTGCGCGTAGATACGTCCTCTTTACACAAATTTTCCGTAGTTGCGCGTCGGTACGTCCTCCCAGACACAAGTTTTCCGTAGTTGCGTGTGGATATCGAAGGCCCACCCACACTGTCGAGCTTGGCCGGTATCAGCTGCAGCAGTCTGTCCTTTCCGCGCGCCCCCAATATCGACAAACAGACCGAATATAGCAACCAGATGCAACCTCCACTTGTTTGCGGATAATGGCATTCAGGTGCAAGAGTTACCAACCGAAAATCGAAAGGAGGTGTATGAAGCATGCGAGCCAAGTTCACATTCAGTCTCGCACTTTCCATTCCAGAAAAGCCGCGGACTATGAATCCTTCCTGGACAACACTTAAACTTGGGCTTCGTTGCAAAGCTCGTGCTGGACTCAAACTGCTGGACCCCATGCTGGACTCATAATGCGGTGGACACAACCCCCAAGCTATACATCACCTTCATCATGATGACCGAAGGAAATTGAGTTCAAGTTTGTGTCTCCGATCAATATGGGGACTTGCACTGATCCCATCGGCTTGTTTGCGCCACTCCTTGAGGTACGGCATCACTGCCTGCCCCGACCGCCAGCTCGGAAGGCTGGGCAGAGTCCATGCTAGCCGCTCTTCAGAATCATCCGGAGATATCCGACTGGATTAACCAATAGGGCGAATCCGCAGACTTTAAACCCGAGCGCTTGACGCTGGAGGCGCTGATCAACGCCATCAACGAACGGTTCGTTGACCCGGTACGTCCTGTATCCTCGAAATGTTAGCGCGCCTTATCGGTGAGAACCGACAGGCTACGGGATGATTTCGCTCCTTCAAGGTCTGGACTACGTAAGGTGCTGCCAAGAACATGTGTTTCGGACCTCTCTAACTTGTTGATGTCCAAGCCTGGCTTCCTCCCGATTATGTATATTGTTACAGGGTGGTTAACTTCGCCAGCGGCCCCCTTTCCCGAGGCAGTCCCTGCTCTCCACTGCTAGAGGGGCGCCCTAATCCGTCACCCCATCCGACTTCAGAATGTATTCGTTGGGTTCGGCAACTCACCAACAGCATCCAACCAAGTCTAGCGGATCAACGGCGCATCAACTTAGTTCCTGGTCAGCTCGCAAGTTGATATTATCACGTCCTATACCGTCCATATGATGGGGGGCCACCTCCCATTTCAACTCTCCTCAAACACCCGAGGAGCCGGCAGGCGGATTTGAACCCGGGTCGGCCAGGAGCAGAAGTCAGGCCTTAACCTCTGCCAGCCGGGGTGATCGTTCCTAGACATTCTTAGACTGTTCCCAGACCAGCTTCGGTCAGTCATTGCAGTTTTGCTTTGTAACGCTATCACGCGCTACAACACCCTATGCCTTAAAAACTACCCTGGTGAGTGGGGCACAAGGTCGGGGAGACCAATTCTGTGCTTCCCTAATTCGACACCCCGAACAGGCCAATCCTGACTGTCGAAATGTCCTTGCCAGGCCAATTCGACACCCCGAACAGGCTAATTCGACACCCGGACAGGTTAATTCGACACCCCTAACAGGCCAATTCGACACCCGGACAGGCCAATTCAGGTCCAGCACAGCCCAATTCAGGGGCTCCACAGCGCAATTCGAATACCTCCGGCGAGCCTGCCAAAACAATTCAAGACCCCGAAGGACCAATTTTTTTGTCAGGAATAAAATCCAGGCTAATGCTGCGACAGAGCTCTTCCCCAACTCCAGCCCGGATCCTACCCTCCTACTACCCATACGAGCCGAAGGTCCAAGGGCAATATTTAAACGCCTAAAAGCCACGGAGAAAAGGAAACACCGCACTATCAGCCCAAACTAGCGCCCAAGGGGGATAACTGAGTTGCGGTGAGCCCATGTATGCTCCAACATCCTCGCCAGACGTGCTGGCTCCCATTTCATGACCTCCAACTTGTTCTGTTGATGATCAAATCCCTCTTCCGCACGAATATCATTATAGCCTGGGCATTCCATTAACACGTTTTTTTCATCCTCGACTTGGTCATTGGTACCTCAACAGCGGCGAAACCGCTGCTCCCTGGGAACATGGTACTTGCCCCTTCGTGCTCTGTTTGCCTCCAAAGCCCAGCAACATAAACGAAACTGCATAAACTTCCCATGCGCTAAACGAGGAATGAAAACCTTAGAATGTGTTGGCCACATAACGGCTGCGACTCCCGGAAAGGGCAGCCCCATCCAGTGCTCATACTTCGCCATCTGTACTCCCGGTTGCTTCCCCGCTGATGGGTACAAGACAATCAGGCGCGCATGGTCCCAGCCGCTCATCAAACGCTGCCTTAGTGCCGTTATCACCGCTCCTTCAGGGAAAGGCCTACTCAGCAACCAGTCAACGCGCTCCTTTACCTTCACGACTCACGATGTTTCGTTTTTTATTCTGGTACGTCGTATGTACGGTCTAAGCGACCTGCTGAAGAAGAGTGGTTTATTTGAGCACTTTCTTTGAATGTGCGCACATGAAGCGAAGCCACGGGCATGCGCCAGTCCTGCTTTGCCTGCTTATGGAGAACGTTTCCCTCTGCGCACGCGCATTGTCGAAGCTACAGCCATGTGATGCGACAGCTATCGCATTACTAGTGTCATGCTAACGTTACCGTCGTTGCTTGGTTGGCCGTACCGGTATATGGTTTTAATTTTGTACTGCCAGTCCTGTCAAAGTGCTATATGAAGGTTTCGCAAATCAGCAGCAAATTTGACACGGACCCGCGGGCCGTAGGGCTTGCAAGGCAAACGCAACCACAAGGGAGTGCATTGGCCAATGTGTGGATGGATCCGATAACGAATACCATTATCGATTTCCGTTTATTTTTGTTATGCATGCCAAATGTGTTGGTTACCTTCCCCCACTCTCGACGCCAGCCACGACCAATCATTTTGATTCTATTTTGTATTAATGTTAAATTTATTATTGTTGTCTGACGGTTGCCTAAAGGTATATGCGCATTAAGCTGAATGGAGAACCTGCTTTACTTTGTGGACCATAAGACACACATTGAATTCAGGCAATTACGTCATATGATTGCAGTTTTAATGTAGTCTATACCCATACCGCCTGCATCATCCGGAAGAGATGCCGCTGGCAACCATTCATCGGCGGTCGTGGGCACGCAACTAGGCAGCCCTGATTTCAACGCCTTGAATGAGAAATTTCAATGAATTTGCTGGCATGCGGTCAACCCCTCACAGGGCCCACATACCCTCGCTTTCCGTCGTCGCGTCCATGGCCCGGGTTAGGCTTCATCCTTTCGCCAGCTGCCGGCCATCGGCTTCCCCCTTACACTGCCACCATCACGTGCATGGCCACTAGACGCCGAATGATTATAAAGCGGCGCACTCCCCCCGCTTCGCAGCGCAAGAAACGTCGCTACATGGACGAATCCCATAGTCTTGGCCTGGACCCGCAGTCCCCCCGTTTCAGCGGCCGACTTACCACGGAAGTCAATAGCGCAAACGGCCCATTGCAACTGCTACGGCTTGTCCAAGAGTACGGACTTTACTTCAGCGGTACACAGGTCACGATGGCGCTAGCACGCCTGGCCGCGTTCGCGACCTTTCAGCAGATGTCGGCAGAGCAACTCGCAGCGCAGACGCGTACCACCCGGCGTTGCATTCTACTGTTTCGACAAAAACTGCGCGACTGTGACCTTATTAGCTACGCGCGCGCGTCGTACTCTCTGGGTCGGCTGGGCGTGTACGACGAGGATCTCATGGCGGAAGTGACGGAGGAGGTGTACGACAAGCTCAACCTGCTGTCACCCGACGGCCTGGCTGCGCTGCTGGCGGGCATGGCGGCATTGGGGCACCGGCCGGCTGATCGCTGGCTGGACCGGTTCGCGCTGGAAGTTTATACCAGGTACGGCGAGTACGGAGATGAGTCGGCGCTTCGCAACTTATGCCCTCGCCTCCAGATATTGTCTGGGACGTGTAGTGCTGTGTGCAGAATTCAAAGTCAACCGCTGGGGTAGGCCTACGATCATCAGCTGGGCCTTATGAGCAACACATGGCTGCTCCACTCTCCTCTTTCATGTCCTTCTCTAGATTCTCGTATTCTCGCCTGGGCTAAGCTAGGCTGGGCTGGTTTGGGATGGAGGCGAAGTGGTTGGGAGGGTTCCATGATTTCCGATTTTCCGGCTTCCCGCGACTATAACCGCCACCGCATTGTAGTCACATCGGCCAACCGCGATGCCATGCAGGTTTGGTCGCTTCAACGGCCAGGAGCTCGCCAACTTGCTGTACGGCATGGCCCGCCTGCGGTATAACCCCAGCGCGGCCTGGACGGAGCGGTGCATGGAATGTTTTCGGGCGGCGATGGCACTGCCTTCAGTGCCACCCATGGCGCCGGCAATAGTCAAGTTTGCGTTTGGACTGGCGTCACTGCAGGCAAGCGACCATGCCTAAGTGGCTAAGGAGCCTCGGCCCGGATACTAATGCCATGGTTCTGATGTTGCGAGTTTCAACTTGTGGTTAAGGAAGGAAAGTATAGGAAACCTGGTGCAGTCCTTCGGGTCAAGGGGCACTGTACGGCATACGCGACATGCGCAAACACAGCACGGGACTACACGACGCAGCCTTTTCACTTGCATGCACAAGAGGCTGCTTTCCCTCGCTTCCTCATAAGCCCTCTTGGCTTCGGCTGCTCTTTTTGTCCTTCCCCATCTCTTCCCATTGTGGCAATTTATTTCCATCCTCACCAGAGCCTAAAGCTGCGTGCTGCAACCCGCTTCCTTCCGCCAGCCCGTCACCATTCCCACCAGTTCCGAGGCTCGTGGCTCCCTCCACTCGTGAACCTCTGGCGCACTCAAACCCCGCAAGGCATGGCTACTCAGCCATCCGACCGCTTTCTCCAGACCACACAACACTAAAACTCCTGGCCGCTGCTTCCTGACTTTGCAACAGCTGCCGTTGGGGATTGGAACCGCAGATTCGCCCCAGCTTCAATTGGACCACTGCATTCGTGGGACGCGCCCGGCCCCTGCTGGACGCACTCAGCGGGCGAGAGCTCGCTGTGCTGCTGTGGTCGCTGTCCCGGATGATGCGGAGGGAAGATGTTGGTGCGGCTACTACTGCTGCGGCTACGGTGGCACTGATTGATGGAAGTCGCGCCGAAGGTGGTGCTGGGGCCCGCGTGCCCGATGGTGGCGGGGTTGCAGCCGGCCCCGTAGCAACGATGGTGCTGGCGGCGGCGCCGGCTGTAGCCGTGGTGCTGGATCGGGAGTTTCTGGATGCGTGGTTTCGGTGTTCGGCACGGCGGATAGGCAGTGCCAGTGCTGCATCGCTTGTGCTGGCGTTGCAAGCATTGGCGGCGCTGCAGGTAAGTATGTGCGTGGAACTGTGTGACGGGCGGTGTCTTGGATGGGTGGTGGTGGCGAGCGTCATTTAGGACGCGCCGCGAGGCGATGGGATGCGACTGACACTTCTAACAGGTTGTGCTGTTCTGGCAGCCTCCTTTCCTGTAGGACTTGAATTCTGTATCCAGAACTTGCATGTTGAAAGGGCGGTAAGTGGTAAATATTAACTTCAGCTGCTCTGTTTCCCTACCATCCAGTCTGGTCCGAGTCCGGCCGGCATTCCCACCACCCACTTGCAGATTACCCAGCTACCATCCAAGTACATGAACGCCGTGCTGGTGCAGCTGCGGTTGGCCATGCCGGGGGCCCAGACATCGGGGGCGACTAATCAACGAGGTGGGGCGGCAGAAGGGACATTGAGCAGCACGGAGATGGTTTCGGCGTTGCTGAGCTTGGTGGCATTGCGAATACGTCCTGGACCCGACTGGATGGAGTCCTGCTTGACGGGTACGGGGTTATGTATGCGTGTGTGGGACTTGCTTGGTAGAGTACAGCGGCTGGGCCGATGAAGGGGCTTAAGTAAGGATGTAGTGGACATCGGGTTGATCTTGGCTCTTCCTTTATACCCAGGAGGCATCAAACCTTTTCGTCTTCTGAGCATATCTGCGCCGCGTTCTTTCCACACATGTTGTTTTAAATTCGCAGGAGTGGAGTTAAGTTTGCTTGAACTTCAAGGGCCTACCCTTTGCGACCTGGCCTGGGCCCTGGCCCGTCTGCAGTATCAACCGTCCCCTGAGTGGACCGACGCTTTTGCATTGAGATGCCAGGCAATCCATGCATCATTGTCTCAGCAACAGCTAAATTTGCTTGCGTGGGCTTTTCGACAGTTGGACCTTTCCCTCCCAGACATCCTTTAGAATGATGCTTGTAATCAACTACGGTAGTAGGTGGAGTGTGCTTGGGACATGCAACAGCATCTTCACAATCACAGATGCATTTGCAGTAATTTAGCCAGTTGATGTATGTACGTTGTTTACATCTGTAATCCAATCCTTTCTAGTTCGTCATCGGTTACATGTCGTTTTTTCACCGTCCCCAGACCAAGATGATGAGATTCTGACCATCAGTCAGTTTACATGGGGTACCTACCTACCGCACATCTGAAGCCTGTGCGCCACGTACGCGCGCGTAAGGTCAGAAACGCTGTACAGTGACAACAGCGCTGCTACCGCCAGCTTTGCTGACAACGAAAATGACCGACCTGGTCGCAGACCACGAACATGTGCAAACATTTAGGTAACACCATCAAACTTAATACTCAGGTTCCTAAGCCTGTTGCACAGCGTGGGCAAGCGTCTTTTCAACAACTTATCACACGTATGCATGAAACACCCCTTTCGCCCCTGCCCAGAACACGGCCTGACGAAATGACGCATATCTGGTCCCGTCCACAATCCGAGTTGCACTGATCCCTACCACGCTTGTCGACAGCAAATCCCGCATCGCCTCGCTCGTTCAAGTCCAACCTTCGCGTGTCGCAAGCTCGCTTCTACGCTCTGGACAACAGATGAACCCACACCCCGTGGAACTTTGCTGACGGCCGGCAAAAAAACCTTAATGCCTCGTCGTATGCTGCACAGGGGTAGACTTGAAAGCCCGACTCAAGCATGACAAGCGGAGCGCATTTTACTTCTTCGGCAGCGGCACCTTGTCACCCTTCTCGTTCAGGACCTGCAATAATATGAACATTTGCATATTTGACACTGCGATACCGGCCTCCAAATCGTCAATAATCACCATACTATGAAATCGCTATCCCGTACAGCGAACAGCGGCAAAGCACAGAATCATCCCACACCCCTTCCCATGTGCACAAATGCGTACTTCTGTGCGTATCATACCCTCGTTTCGACAAATCCCGAACCGTCCTGAAGAGACCTCACCATGTTCTCGCTAGAGATGGCCTCCGCCTTGAAGTCCTCCTCCAGACCATCATCAGCCTCAACAACCTCCTCCTTGATCTCGCTAACCAACTTGTCCAGGCTGGGCACGTCCTTCAAAGCCTCAGCGGACTTGGCCTAAGCAACGTGAGAAACAGAACAGGTTTCACAGAGTTGGTTAGCTGTGCATTAATTCCATAAGCTCAAAATGTAACCCGACACTTCCAATCCACTCATGCCGCAGAACGGATACACGATTCAAGGCATGATATGGTTTACACCAGACCCCAACCACTACTTAACCATGCGGACCTCGCCCGTTGCGCACCTTCTTGCCCTCGTCCTTGCGAGCCGCCACCTCCTTCGCCAGCTTGTCGGCCTTATCGACGACCTCGTGAATGCCGCCGACCTGAGAATGCAAGCATATTTGTCTTATGAAACTAGTACATCAAGACACTAAGGACAAATTACGCAGGGTCCAAAGCGACACCGCTTAAAACAACCAAGCATTACAGCCAATTTCCAGCACCAGGAGACCCACCATGTAGAAGGCCATCTCCGGCAGGTCATCATATTTGCCCTGCGAACACGATGTATAGGAGGTTGAAGGGAACAGCACGAACCTCGCCAGCACTGCAATGTAACTGATGCTCTGAATGTGGGACCAGGTAACTGACCTCAAGGATACCCTTGAAAGCTGCGATAGTATCCTTCAAGTCGACGTACTTGCCCGGGGTGCCGGTGAAGACCTCAGCAACCTGTGGTGGAAGGTCCAGTGGAAAACCGTTCACATACAGACGTGAAGGAGCTCTGGGTCGGACACCAAGAGCGGGTATCGCAATGGCTACAATAGTATCGCCTCCAGGAAATGCCATTTGCAGGAGAGGGGACATGCAAAGAGCGCAACCATGTGGCAGCCGTGCCAAGGTGACGCTGCTCGATTTCGCCACCCCAGGCTGTACACAGCAATAATCAAGAAGGCCTTCGACCAACCAGGCTTTGTTACCAAACCCGCACACGAGGCAGTTCCAAGACCTGATTCCTGATAACGTCATCGCAGCGTACCTGGAATGGCTGCGACAGGAAACGCTGAATCTTGCGCGCGCGAGCCACGGTCAGCTTATCCTCCTCGGACAGCTCATCCATACCCAGAATGGCAATGATATCCTGCAAGTTCTTGTAGTCCTGCAGGACCTTCTGCACACCACGAGCCACGTTGTAATGCTCGGCGCCGATGATGTTCGGGTTCAGCATGCGACTTGTCGAGTCCAGCGGGTCCACGGCTGGGTAGATGCCCAGCTCAGCAATCGAACGCGATAGCACAGTTGTGGCGTCCAAGTGAGCGAAGGTCGTGGCCGGAGCCGGATCCGTCAAGTCATCAGCAGGTACGTACACCGCCTGAGAAAACAAAGCCCACCGGGATGGTTCATACACAGAACATGAAATTGTAGAATTGCGCGCAGCCATCTCTTAAACGACTTGCTTACGCCGGATAAAACGGCGGAGAAATGCCAGGAACAAATGCGCGATGCGATGTAAACATCCGCGTGATGTAGATGATCGCGTTGCCTCGAGGTTTTCGGGCACAAGAACTTGATCCTCCCGTTAGGAAGGGCGAATCGTTCGCACGATATTGCGGCTAACGGACCAATCGTTGCACTTACGGGGGAAACCACATAGCATGCGGTTGATATCCACGCGCCTTTAATTGTGCACCCACAAACCAGATCCGAAACCACGCATAATCTGTTCCTTGTTCTATTTATGCCGTCAAGTACGCGATAGCCCAACAGGCTACTGTAACCACAAAAACAATCCCGCTGCTACTAAATGCTTTTCCCCTCGAGCAATAGACTGCTTCAGCCGCGGACAGGCGTTAATATAAATTATACTCAAAACGCCAAGCTCCAGGCGGAAATGGAGCCCAGGACTGACGAGAAATGCGTGCTAGTGAGCAACTGCGCGGCAAAGTCGCTAAGGCAACAGGCGGCCACCCCAAACACAGACAGACCTGCACTGAGGTAATGGAGCCTTTCGTGGTGGTTGTAATGCGCTCCTGCAGCCCACCCAAATCGGTGGCCAGGGTCGGCTGGTAACCCACAGCCGAGGGAATGCGACCGAGCAGGGCCGACACCTCCGAGTTAGCCTGTGTAAAGCGGAAGATGTTGTCCACGAAAAGCAGCACATCCTGACCCTCCACGTCACGGAAGTACTCGGCGACCGTCAGGCCTGCAGGATTGCATTTACAAAGTCTTCAGCAATTGCACCAGTGCAAGAACTCAACGAGGTCCGACCTAAACTCGACGACCGACTTTGGTACGGCAATGGTAATTGGGGCTTATGCAACCACCGGAGTTTATTCATGACGCGTTCGGTGTCCCTATTCACTTAGGGACGTACTGTTGCCAAGTAGGCAATTCGGCCATCCGCCTAGTGACCGGTCACGCACCAGTCAAAGCCACACGGGCACGAGCACCCGGAGGCTCGTTCATCTGGCCGTACACAAGCGTGCACTTCGATTCGCCACGCTTGTCGCCAAGCTTAATGACGCCCTGCCAAGAAAAAATTGAGGTCACAGCCCCGCGTTAATATACATCACATTTGTAGCTATGTTGCTGCCATTCAGGAGGAAGCGACGGACGCCAGCAGCAGGCAAACCCATCAGCGGACGGTGATCCGCCCATGCTTACCGATTCGATCATCTCACGGTACAGATCATTGCCCTCGCGGGTACGCTCGCCCACCCCAGCAAACACGGAGAAACCACCTGGAGCATAATCCAGATGGCCACGTCAGGAGTGTACCAACAGACATCCATACACCCACAAGCATTCATTTGGACGTGAAATGCATAGGAGCCACAACGCACCGTGCGCTTTGGCCACGTTGTTGATCAGCTCCATAATCAACACAGTCTTCCCCACACCGGCGCCACCGAACAGACCGATCTTGCCACCACGCTGGTAGGGAGCCAGTAGATCCACGACCTGATGGAGAACCCAAGCCATAGTGTTGAGCACAGCTCAAAGTTTCCGATACCGCCATTAAGCTTATCGCATAATGCAAACGAAGTCCGCCCAGCTGTAGATCCCTTGCAAGAAATTTATCACCGCAACCAAATATTGAACAGGCCTCCGCACCTTGATGCCGGTCACCAGGATCTCCTGCTCAGTGCTCTGCTCGGTGAACTCCGGAGCGTCACGGTGAATAGACCAGACCTCAGCAGCATCTATGAAAATGGGAAAGAAATGACTGAAGTGAACGCACATTCCACTAGGTGCCCGCAAGGCTGATACATTGAACCTCACCGATGGGACCCTGCTCGTCGACAGGCTCGCCAATCACATTCATAATACGTCCTAGAGTTCCGCGACCAACCGGCACCTGTAGGTCAGTCAGCAAGACAGTCAAGGCGGTAGTTCTAGCATGATGATGTAAGCCTTTGCGCAGGCACCCTCGTATCTCTCACCTTAATGGGCGCGCCAGTGTTGAGCACCTTTTGACCACGGACCAGGCCATCAGTGCTGTCCATGGCAATGCAGCGCACCGTGTTGTCGCCCATGTGCTGAGCCACCTCCATAACAAGGCGCACGCTGTGTCCCTGAACCTCCAGCGAGCTGAGGATGGACGGCAGCTCCCCATCGAAACGGACATCGACCACAGGTCCGATGACCTAGCAGTTGTTGCGGGAAGATGAGTATCGTCGGCTGCTTCCGGGAACAACGACACCGCGTGATGATCGACGTTCCGGCGGCCGACGCACCTGGCTTACGAAGCCAACATCCGCTGAGGCAGCAGCAGCAGGCTCCGCAGCAAAAGCACGCACGGCGTTCAGCAGAGCGGTGTTGCGGCCCTGAGCGACCTGCCTCAGGCAGGTCGCCGCGAAACGGCTCGTCCCCGAGAGCATCCTTATCCGACCCACGCACAACCCGCTATTGGTGGGGAGGATAGAAACTAGGCTAGTACCCGCACTACGGACAACTGGCTCGCGACAACATCAACTTGCCATGTGCGCCCCTGGAGCGGTCATGCCTGAATCAGACAAACGGACTCAAATGGGTTACAAAAATTATTATCTTTCACATAAGCGCTAGATAATATTCTTTTAGCCAGTAAGCTCACGTCTTGCGTGCTGACGGACACTCCAACATGTTTCAACAAAGATTGAAGCGCAACAACGAAGCCACAGAGAGCGTACAAAAAATTTTCTACTTGGATGTGAGCATTCTGAGAAATTAACAGGACTACCGGGTACGCACATTGCGGAGGGCCCGCGGACCTGATCATAACTTTTTCGCGCTATCCGCACGGCCATGCTGGTAATCACGGGTGCTGCAACCTGGCGTAGTAACTGGCCAAATTGTATGGCGAAGGCAGCCGCGCGTGCTCCGCGTACGAACACGGTTAAAGTACCTTTGGTGAGAGAAAGATTGGGTCTTGGCAATGCACGCCCTCGCCAAGCTTTGCTTTGAGCATTATGCGTTTACCAGCGCAGCTTTCGTACCTTCTCGGTAGTGTATCCGTCGTTCCATACCTCCGGCCACAGGCCAATCCGAACGTCGGGGACACGATGATCCAACTACCCACAAGTCGATTAACCTGTGCGTACGTAAACATGTCGCCAAAGCTCCTTCCGATGCACATTCATATCCAACGAGGGAAAGGGCCTTGTCGCTGTATTGTAAGCTAGGCCCTGGAACGTCTTCGTGGGCAGCATAGCCATCTGCCACAGGCCAGACAATGACCCAAATGGAGACCCTAATACGCGCCTTGGCTTTGCTTCTGGATCGTTCCTCATCACGTCACGTGAAGGGTGCTGGGACCCCAGCCGATTTGTGGGTGCTGGTTTCAAAAGCAGCCGGTATAAGCCATGTCCGGCAGTTTATGAATGCACGTGGGTGCATTCGCGTTCAGCCGTTCATTGCCTTTGGATAAGCAATTACTGTTATCGGATGTCATCTGTGCATGAAATGGAAAGCCGTTCATTCAGTCATACAGGGGTAAAAAAGCGTGTGGAGGGTATGCTGGGTTCTCGGGAACGTTGAGCCGCAGCATTACAGCATATCATTCCCAGCCATTCATGGCCGCGGTGGGTAGCGCATGACGCCTGGGGACGGCCCGGTTCTCCCCACGTCATGTATTCGTAACGATATAATGCAAGCATCGCTCACATTGGCGCACCCTGTTGCATCCATATTGGACGTTCAAAAATGCAACCCGGGTATTGCAATCTACGAGTTAATGAACATATGGGGAAAGCCCACAGAGACCAGGTCCACGGAGTTCTCCTGGCTTTCGTACAGGTTACCGCAGTTTTAAACCTGAAGGGGGACAGTCGCGGCGGTTCCAACCAACAGGATAGTGGTTCCTGTGTCGCGGCGGTTCCAACCAACAGGATAGTTCCAACCAACAGGATAGGCTTCGTTGCCTAAGTGCCTGAAGCAATCCTGGGTAGCTGCATGTGCTGCTGTGCCTGTACAGCCGCGGTGTAATACCACGACATGGACAGCAGGATGGCACAAAAAGCCCGCCAGGGGCCTGGACAGCCTGGCGGTTCCCAGTGTAAACAGTTGTGTGCCAGTGGAAAACGCCATGAAAACCATTGTGGTGATTCACACGTAGGTGAGCACAACGTTATGCTATGCATCTGTAAGGAGAAGACGAGGAGCTGCATATTAAGACCAGCATGCCAAGCACTCGCCGGCAGGGGCAATTCCAAAACCCTTGCTGCTAACGTGCCTGAGCTACGCAACTCCGGCTTCTCTTAAAGCTTTCCTTGGCATGTCAGTGTTGATTGCACTCATCACTCGTTGCATTGCCATTTCGCATACCAAACTCGCACATCCGCTGCAGACGGCCTGCAGAAATATAAGACACAACGCCTGTCGTTCTCAACGCTGGCCCGCCAACCCAGCAATAGGCTAAGAGTGTCTGCCATGGAGCTTGCACATGCTACAGCACAGGACAGGCGGCACCGCACGCAAGCGGCACCCGGCCCTGAATTACACAACAAGCTCGATCCCAGGGTGCCCAGCACACAGAAGTCGCCCAAAGTGTGAACTGTCTGCGTGCATGGCCCAACTTGGTCCTGTTAGCGCGTTCAGCACTGCTCTGGCAGCACTGCCAGCACCTAACTCGCCTATATGATAATATGCTCCAGTTGCCTTATTCGCATTTCCTAATCTAGTCTGTACTCTCTCTAAGATTGAGTGCGCTCTTGCCGTGTGTACAATGTAACAGTCGCACAGTAGACAAAAATATACACATCGTCATATCAAAAGAAACCCAACGGCAACATGCATCCACCACGCCAGCACAAGAGTTATGCGATATTGTAGTACAAAGCCCAAGACCTGTGCATTACTAAACACACGCCGCTCGTAACACGCGCATATGCATTCGCCCTTTGCCCCTCTGGGCACCTCCGTCAGATCCCCAGGGCCCTGACTTCTTCGGAACCCCTCCTCGCCTGCCGCGGCTCCGACATACCTGACACACCTCCTACAGCCCCCAGCACGCGCTGCCTTACCTCTGCGCCACTCCGTCGTACCATCAGAGCTACCATCACTACATGCACTAGCCCAGTCAACGCCACTGCCAACAAGGTCAAAAATCCTAAGAAACCTCAGACAGCGACCAGCCCCGGCGCCACCTTCAGCATACAAACCCAGCCGCATTTGACTTCACATCCGAAAAACATGACTGATGACAATGACGCGTTCTGGGGACGAAATTCCTGAGCTACCTCTTATCTCCGGCCACCTGCAAAACAAACCCCAACTCCAAAGCAGCCACACATCACACAGACACCGGATAATGATATTAGTGATTATTACTATCTCACTTTGCAACACGGCGATACATTCCCAGATTACGACTCTTTGCAAAATGTAAGATGCGCGTTCGACAGGTACCACACGTGCCCTGCGGATTCCACTCGACTTCCCCCAACCCCCGCCCCCGCCGCCGCGCCGCCTCATTGAGAGGAGGTCATAGGCTAGAACGGGCTGACGGAGGAAAGCGCTGCTACAAGGGTTTGAGCGGTCCCTGCTGGCATCCAGCCACGCGTGGCGGCCGTCCGTGCGTCCGGAGGCATGAGACATCAATCCTAATGCCGGCCCTCACAGAGAAGGCAATTGGAACAACACCCTTGCTCCGTCCACACAGTGTTGCTGCTGTTGGTGGTGTGGCGCCGCCAAGTCGCCGGAGGGTTACCGTCGCAAAAAGGTTCGGTGCCAAGTGCCATTGCAGAACCAATCACCCCCAATCCACAACCCAGATTCACAACACATCAGAATGAAGCAACTTGATAATCAAAGCACTGATTTACACCCCTACCCCTGCAGCAACCAACCGCGTAGCAAGCAATCCCGTCCTAGTTCGACACCGGGCTCCGACAGCCTCCCAGGTGCCGGTCCGCAGGCCCTAAGACAGCCGCAGTGAGAGCACCTAATCCACAGCGGACCCTCTCACGACTCTCTCAACACGGCTCCTCCTGCCAAACGCCGGAGCAACCGAACGGAACAGACATCAAACGCGGGTGCCCGTAGCGGTGGGCAGCATTGCCGACGGCTGCAGCCGCTCGCCATAAACGTCGGATCGATGCCCCACCGGATCCAGCAGCAATTTGCCCTCGTCGCGGCCAGTCGCGGGAATGCTGCCTGCACGCAACGAGTACCCCGAGGAGGCCATCATTACTTCATTAGCGACGCTCCTTACGACCAAAAAAAACATTTGGGGTCGCTCTTACAACCGCAAATAATCGTGCGCTACTTGTACGAGGAAAGGCATCCGCCAGGAGGTTGGTTTCTATTCCTGGGTCTGGCCCTTGAACTGGCCCTTGAACTGGTTCTGGAGAAGCCCCGCTCTTCAATTGAAGAGCGCGCCCCGCTCTTCAAGTTTTTAACAAGACATAGCCGAAACCTTGCACAAGGGTTTTTGCTGGTCGGAGTGCTGAAAGCATGGCATGGCATGTCGCCAACGGTCGAATTGCAACACACGCCTGTTGGGACTCGCGCTTGCCCAGTCGAAGTTGCGCATGGAAGACATACGTGAACGGGAGATCAATCAGGAAGGGGCGCAAAGCAGGAGGTTTTACGTTTCGACTCACCTTCCAGCGTCGGCAAGGCTGAAGGCGTTTGCAAGGGCGGGACCCAGGAGGTGGGGATCAGGCAATGAAGCATGACCGCGATACCTGCTAGCCTGTTAATCTGTGTGGCCATACCATGAAGGACACGCGACCACAACGCAAAATGTGGGCGACTCAGCAATTCCGACGACAACGCGCGGAGGGGTAGTGGAAACGCTCAAACGCGGCAGTTTCGAAACGCAGGAGAGAGGGGGCAATGGTGGACGAACGCTGCGTGGCATTGCTGCGTGGGAACGCATTGCAAGGTGACGCCCTCGAGGGGGGTTGCCAGAGGTGAGGCTCATGGGCCTTTGCTCCCGCCAGCTCCGCCCGGCGACCCTTCCACCTTCCTTCCTGATCCCCCTCCATAACCCATACCCCCTTAACCCAACCCACCACCCCAACCCCACGCACCCAGCTCGGAGCATCTCTCCCAACTAGCTGTCGGCACAGATCGTTTGCGAAGCTGCGGCCAAGGCAAGCAGGCAAGCAGTAAGGGCTCTCTTCACACCTTCAAAGGGTGGTAACGCAACTCCAAAAGGTGTGTAATACACGCACATGCACACACGCGCGGATACAAGTCTCTACCCACATGGCAAATGGTGCTGTACCCTCTCTAGGTATAGTTCGGACGCAACCTAGGTTTAGTTCACCCAGTTCACACGTCCCTCTGGCCGGGGGCCCCCCCACTTCCACCGTCCCGCCCTCCCCCAACGGGCCAACTCACTGGTTGCAGTTGCGCTGCGTACACACCAGAGGATTGGGTTGAGGTGGAGCAACAGGGGAGGAAGACGGAAATTACCGAGCGTCACGGAGACCGAGGAGGCACGTGGGGCAAAAGCAACGAAGAAAGTAAGACACGGCAAACACGGCAGCCATAAGTTAACACGGCACTTCTTCATGCAGCACGCCTGCTTGGGTAGAGCAGGGAGCTCACTTCGCGGGTCGCACTGGTGGGTTGATGCACTGGAGGGCGGGGTTCCCAAGTATGCTGCATGGACATCAATGCAGACACTCTCTCTCTCACGCACAGGTCTTTGTTGGTCTGCAATTGACCCATCATCTCCATATGCATTAGGAGAGGTTTCACTTCTTTTCAAAAGTAAAGGACCCATTATACCCAACCCGGCGCCCAGCTCCGGTCCCGCATCAGCAGAGAAACCAGGAGGAGCTTGGCAGGATGTTTTCCCGTACCCGACTGTTGGATGGAACCTGACTGAATAGAAAAACCGGCTGCTGCTGCAACCCAGCTGCCGCTGTTGCCGCTGCTGCTGCTGCTGCTGCGATCCAGATGTGGCGCACCTGTAACAAGTGATAGTTGTTGCCCTTGTACTCGTTTCCCATGCGCTGGACTAGGTGGTGGATCTCTTGCTGCGTCATGGTGGTTTCCCCCATAGGGATGCTCTCGCGGAAGACGACTACAGCAGGTGGTGCGGGGGACATGGGAGGTGCGAAAATGTTGCCCATGTTGCGAGGAGGCATGGCATACAGGGCAAGGGGGAGGGGCGAGTCCTGCAGCAAAACCCCCTCGCGAGTGGCAAGTTAAGGAGAAGGTTGGAGCCGGCCCCATCCGATACAACTGTTCTGACGCATGGTGCTGCAAGAATATAGTTTTGAGACTAGTTGTTTGGCTTCATGCATGGGTTACGATGGGCGGTTTGTTGAGGTTTCTGTCGACGGATGGGCGCGACACAGGGAGGTGCCCGTGACCTGGGAGCTAACACTCCAAGGGCAGTGAGACAGGCGCATCCGATTCTTTGAGATACACCGTTATCATCCATATCAAGTTACATCCGCTTCTTTTCAGCATTCATGGACCTGAATTACTACACGCACTGCTTGAGCTGTGAGCAAAACCTACCTTGCCCGGGAGCATCACGAGGGTTCGTAGCAAACACTCCTGAATAATCATAGTCGTGCCCTGTCACAGGTCGCCATGGAGTGAGTTCCCTGCTAATCCGTAGCACGGAAACGCAGCCCGCTCCACGCCTGAAGTCCCTTACCTCCATAAGCATACTCCACACCGTATACCTCGACACCAGAGTGGAAAATACCAACGCCGCACCAATATGTCCAGTTATTCTGAGGTGCTAGGTCGTATATATTCAAAACCACTGGTGCCATAGCGGTCCTTAGAACAGTATGAAAGCCGCCCAGGGCGGCTTAGTGCAGCCCGTGCGCTGGCCGTGAAAGTAATGACTGTTAGCTACAGCAAGCAATATTGTAGGTCCAGAAGTAGTGCTAACAAAATGCTACGATATGTTTGTACAATAACTACCTCATGGAATGGAAATGAGAAGCCTAAACTTTCTTTGCACAGAAATTCAAGCACATCAGAAGCCACAATCGGCACTTTGATTGGACTGTATAATTTGGAGTAATAAGAATATAATGCTTATTCCGACTTCAACTATGCCAATTGCTCGTTGGTTCAGCTTCAACCATGTGCGCCGTACTCTATGGACGACCTCCCCATCCGTCAGAAGCCTTTCATGATAATGGTGCATTTCAGTTTGGATATCTAGCCAGGGCTTTCCATGGCTTTTTTCAATATTTGTCCATAGCCGTGTAGCCATCCCGTAAACCTCCCCGGAACGCAAGAGGAAGCCATCCTTCACTGGCGATGAAAACAGCCACTCCAAGTTCACTGGCTGGTTAACGCCACTATGTAGTGATTTTGCTTTGGTTTGGTATGGAAGAAATTCTCACAGCTGGTCAAGCTGAAGCCGTATATGGCCTCCACCATAGCACATTACCGGAACGACAAGTGCTTGGCTTGGCAGGTTGCGCAGGTTGCCCATCTCATGATAGTGCCAATCTAGCATTTCATTACCCTACTTGGTTCAATTACCAGTCTCCCAGCTTCTGCCCTTTGGGCACAACTCCCAAATACTGTGACCTGTGAGTGTCCCAAAACTGAAGCTGTAGCTCGTCAGCAGCCATAATGAATATTCCCGCGAGGCAGCTGCAGGTATCGCAAGTAGCAGGAGCAAACTTCATGAATGCCGTCGTCTTGTCGGTCATATCGGTCTAATTGCACATAAGCAGCGGAACCTTGGGATGGCGAAAGGATGCACGGGACGGCTGGTGTAGCATACTTCCAGACTGGCAGCGGTGCTGCTCAGCGCTTAGCTGGCCAAAGAATACATACTTGCCGCCTAAGGACCCCACCTGACGACACTGAGCAGTCACATCATAGCTAGGGAGAACCACATATGCCGACTAGCTGCGGCCCTCAGATGACCGACCGCAGCGCACCTAAATCCAGTTGGGAGAGAGAAATAACATTTAAAAAACCAAGCCACACAGCACGCCTTAATCCGCCTCTCCACTCCCAACGCTTTCATCTTCCAGCCCTCTTGATGTTCACCTCTCTTCCTACTCCTCCTGCTCCTACCCTCCTGCTCCTACCCTTTCCTTCGCAATGTCTACTACTGCCGCCTGCTCCCCAGCGCGCGCTGCAGCGCCGCTCCTGCCAGCAGCGACCCTGCCGCCACCACCGACCAAGGCCCGAGCTGCTCCCGCTCCGGAACCAGACGGGACAAGAGGGGGCCCTTCCGGCTGCTTTCCTTGGACTGCAAGGCGGGGCGGACAGCGGGGGGAGGCATGTGACGCTCTCAAGTCAAAGAGACAACTTCCGTCGCTCTAGTACCGATTGCTGGATGAGTCTGAAGCAGTGACGCAGCTGCGTATGGGAAAGGGAAAGAGATATTAAATAAGCCGCAAACAAATAAGTTATTTCTTAGTAGGACCACTTCCGGCTCGGACAAGGAGCAGCAGATGGCTCCAAGTGAAGGACGGATGGTGAGGGGAGCCGGAGGTGGTCGTGGAGGCCGGGGGGGGGCAACAGGTGTGTGGCCTTGGGGCCTTGGGTTGATATCCGTGCAAGATCCGTGCAGGATCCGTGGAGGGCAACAAGTTCATGAACCGAGCCGTGAGAATATCCTTAGGAATATGTCACAGGAGGTAACACACGAGCAACTTCAGCAAAGAAAATAGCCCAGCAGTGACATATTGAAGTTTTTTGGTGTGCACGTATGTACGTATGTATGTGTGTGTGTGCTTTACAAGTCGGAGGGGAGGAGGGATGTGCCGGGAGAGACAGATGGATCACCCAGTGGGGCGGAGGTAATGGTGGCTCTAAATCCGAGTGCCGGTAGCCCAGGTAGACCAGGGCCAGCATCCCGACATGGTATCCCCCTTTTATCATCCGGTCCACATCTTCTCCTCTTCACCTTCACGTCCCTCGTGATGAAGCGCTCTCCGCTGTCCAGGGTGTTTCGGAGCAGAATGGCGATGGTCATGGGGCCCACACCGCCTGTAGCAGCAGCAGGAGCAGCACTATTACCAGCAGCAGGAGCAGCAGGGGCAGTAACGGCATCCTTAATAATAATAATATATAGGCGGCAACGAACCCCGGCTCACTATCCCCTCCCAAAATGTCCTGAAAACGACGGCAGCAGCAGCTCTCCTGCTACGACTGCACAAGCCCGAAAAAACTGCCCTAAATAGGACCCCGTGCCAGTCGGACCCGGTAGTGCTGTACAGCATACCCGCCATCACGTATCTCCTGTGATGTGGGGCTCCAAGCTTCATCTCGTAAGCCCCGGCCGAGCCACGCCAGGAGGCTCATGAACCGCGACAACGCCGTGACACCCCCCCCGTCTTCACCCCAATCAGGTCAAGAGTCAAAGGGTAGGTAGGTTTAGGACGACGATGGGAGTTGTTCCTCCGTAGCATCGGCGCAGGGGGGCATCCTGTACGGCAAACCTACCGGGCACGGGCGTTATGGCGCCCGCCACTTCCTTGCACTCCTCAAAATGCACATCACCAACCAACCGGTAGCCCGCGGCCTGTTGTTGTTGTTATTGGGGGGGGGACCAAAAAGTACGCTTCGTTTCGAGCAGAGTTTGCATTAAGAGCATAAGTGGGGCAACATCGCGTAAATAGGAGAGCGAAGCTTGTCAGTTGTAGAAGTCCGATCCGAAGGCAGCTAGGCACAGCCAAGGATACAGCGATCTTCCTTCTCTATCGGGAACAACAATAATAGGATACAACGTAGAATCCAATGTACGACAGGCCTGTAGGAGGACACTGTTAGGGTTATTGCGCAGGCAGCACCGCTGAGCCGTTGAGAACCCGTGTGACGTCATCCATCCAAAAACACGCACAAAGATTTTACCTTAGTGCCGGGAAAATGGGCAGTGCTAGATATTCAGCAGCTCATACAGACGCACAAAATATTGGCAATATCGAGTCAAAGTCTGGGTCGATGCCGCCGGATTAAAACTCACTCCCCACCTCCAGCTCACCTTAGAGGGGTCATCCACGGGGTTGGTTCCCACGTCAATGATGGCGGCTCCGGGTTTGACCCAGCTGCCGCGAACCAGCTGCGCCTGACCGGCAGCGGCGATGATAATGTCGGCCTGCCGCACAATCGACTCCATGTCCTGTACGGTAAATCACGGGTGGGGAACGAGGGAATAAATGTTTCTCCAGGGGAATATTATGAGTGCGGAAAGTTAGGGAGAGCGGGGACGGCAACGACGTGCCAGACCAATGTGGTGTGTGTGTTTCGCTGCTGGCGGCGGGCAGGGTACCTCGGGGGGCTTTGACCTCCAGGAAGATCTTCACGCGCAATATTTTACTGAGTGTGAGTTGTACGGTATAGTTGTACGACACGCAGCAAATCATCGCTTACATACTATGCCGATGCATCTGCCCATGTAGCACATCGCGTGAAAAGCAGGTCCGAGTCTTGGCAACAGGAGTGTGCGTGTGTGTGTGTGTAAGAAAACACACCGGGCGGCAATTTGGCGCCCTTGTGGAGCTGTTGGGCTGCTGGGGCAAACTACGGGTGGCTTCGGCACGCGACCCAGACTGACATCCGACCCGTGGGTCACACGTTGAATGTCCGCCGGCACAGGTTTTACCGATGCGTCCATCCGGGAGGGCTCCTTGGGGGCCCCGGGCTATCTTCCGTCCCCGGACTACTGTAGCCAACAAAAACTGCGGCTACAGTTGGCTTTATTCTTAAGGGCGAAAACCCTAAGTCCACTTACACCAACGTGGGGGGTTATGTTGGTGGTGGTCTAGGAAGGTGGGGCCCGCATGGCGAAACAGACCCCATAACAGACCTTGGTGGCCGAGTGGCAGATGGTGACGGTCGCGTCGCGTTTGTTGAGCAGCAGGGCCGCGGGCATGCCCACGATATTCGACCGGCCCACTACCACAGCGCGCTTGCCCTTGATGGGGATGTTGCACCTGAGGGCGCACCGCCGTGTCACGAAACACATTTGGAGATTTTACCAGAGCACGCGCTTGCTCCCGCCGTCCTCGCCACCGTACCTCGCCAACATCCGGACCAAATTGACCCCAAAACATACCCGCAATGACGAACCACCTCCACCGCATAATGAATCAAAATCACGTGCATGTTTAAATGCTTGCTGTGAAAAACATTTTTCACCGAAAGAACCGTAAACGTAAGACAAAATTTCCCGCCAAATTCAAATCCAAATTCAAATCCAATTCTAGATCCAACATCGCATCCCCCTCCTCTCCGCACCTCTCCAATAGCTCCATGCAGCCTACCGGGGTACACGGAGCGAACAGAGGCTCCCGACCCTTCATGGCCAGACGCCCAATGTTCAAGGGGTGAAAGCCGTCCACGTCCTTCTCCACGCTGATGGCGCCGAGGACTGCCTACTCCACGGCCGCAGTAGTGCGACCCACGCGTCACACCCACATAAACCCACATATACACATACATACACACATACAATGGGACCGCCTCAGGTCGTTGGAACGCAGTGGGACCGACGTTGCGCATTGCGGGTTCAGGGGGTTAAGGAGGAAGGATGAGTACAGCCGGACGTGATTGTCCCGAACGTCATATGATATGCCCCGACTGTACATTCTTCATCTCCCTATCCTTTAGCATGTTGGATGCTTGAATATGGGTTCAAAACCTTTGATAAAAATAAAAGGGTCGTGTGGATTTGCCCCAAACCCGAACCCACCCCAATACCCCTCTCCCCGGGTCCCCGCCCTACTAGGCCCCTTCACAAACCTTAGTAAACCCCCCCGCTCCATCTCCCTCCCTCCCTCCCTCCCTCCCTCCCTCCCTCGCCCTCGCCCTCGCCCTCACCCTCGCCGCCCACCCACCCCTGACCTGCTCGTCAATGTGCTTAGGCAGCGGCAGCTGCACCAGGATGCCATGCACGTCAGGGTTGTCGTTGAAACCCCGAACCGCCTCCAGCACCTCCTCCTGCGGTGGGGCATGCGAGAGATCCACAACCGTCAACGACCCCGGGTGTAAGCACCGGGTTCAATACCGGTATGTACCTGGGTGGCGGTTGCCGGTAGGTCAGCTCCGAAAGGCGCGATGCCCACCTCCTCACAAGCCTACAGTCAGCGGTGCAGCGGTGTGATATCTATTAGGTAAAACAATTGGAGGTCAAGCGAATTAGGAAGCCGAGGGCCGAGGTGGGGTGGATGGGGTGGGATGGGGATTACATCAAGGCGTGTGGCGTTTTGGTGGGAGGAGGGAAAAGGATCATGGTTCAAGAATTGGAATGCAGCGTGAATGAGCGCATCATGAATCAGCTTTACAGGGGATCCGGCCGTACAATAATGGAACACGCATGTCAGGAATAATTGAGTGCCGTACTGTACGGAGACCCTCACGGGAAGAGGTGGACATGGTGGTAGTGGTGGCGGTGGTGATGAGTAGTGTATGCCGCCACCTTACAGCACATGGCTTCCGGCACACTTCCCAAGTGTGTCAGTTGAGTCAAGACATGCGTCTCATCGTCGTTGGTGTCGTAACGCACCCGGCTTTTACGGGTTTGCTGTCGGGCTCACCTTCCGCTTCATGCGCACATACGTCTGACTGTCCTTGCGATCGCCAACGATCACCACTGCGAGCCCCGGGACCTGCAATAAAGCGCGAGTTAAAGGCCGACGTGAACAGAGCATGTTCCTAGGATCTTCCAAAACGTGTAAACGAGTGGTTGGTGGTTGGGACCCAGATGGATGGCAGGATAACACGGCACAGTTAAATGCAAGCTAAATGGTAAACTTATGGAAGGCACAATCACGAAAAAAATCGTCAAGCTTGGCAGTTCCATGCAAGCGTTGGAGGATCGCAGACACAACCGTTGACAATTGCCTATTGTTTCAGAACCATTGTTTTGAAATAAGGATCATGGAGTGATCGGAAAAGATTTTGCGGAAAATCAGAAACAATGCTTTACCCGGTTGTATTTGGCCTTGAGCTCCGCAACCTTCGCCGCTATCTCCTCTCGGATCTTTGCGGCGACAGCCTTGCCGTCAATTATATTGGCTTTCATAAAGGGAGAAGCTGGAGATGCCGATGCTGTCGCAGATCCAGTCGGCGCGGAAGGCGTCGGCGAAGCAGATGCAGCCGCCGCGCTGATGTTTGTGGATATTCCTTCAGGCATTTTCTCTCGTTCCCGTAAGCTGAATGTGACTTTGGCAATTCTAGCCAGTCCTTCCGTGCTGCCATGGTGCGCTCTTAGAGAAGCTTAGTCATGCCTTGCCGTACGTAACGCTGCTGTTGACCAGCTTTGGTGGCTCTCAGCTCGTACTGTGCAAAACTATCAAAGCGACAGTTTCCAAGTTATTATCATAAGGGCATTAACGCTGCTTTGGCATGCTAGCAAGCCATAGCTGTGGCCGCAGGAGCTGCTTGTACTCCACTGGATATCTGCGAAACAAGGGAAAAGGTGGCCATCTCGACGAAACCTTAAAGGCGGCCCCACCATCCACTCTGGTCAGATGCCTCGCGATTTGCTGTGGTCAGAGGCTTTCAAAGTCTGGCGCATTACACAGTTAATGTTACAAGCCTCATACCGCCTTCAATCCCTGTCCCTAGCTCCTCCTGTGATTCCCTGCAGAGGGCAGGCCACGAGGTTCCACCCACCTAGCCATCCCACGCCTATCCTTATACGCACAATCCTCAAGTATATGCTATATGTCATAAAAAACTCCTCGACTTCACTCGTACATTCTTCAACGACAATCAAATAGCAGCAGAGGTTATATAAATATTTACCCCTCACCACACAAGATCCTCAAGCATGCCGGATCAAGCCCCAAGCGCAAGCAGCGACGGAACACGAACCACCGCAACATGCTCCCATGAGACCTCGATGGTGGGGCGGGGTTCGCCACAACCCTTATCCTCCCTTCCCTCCCTTTAAATTCCAAACAAATTTCGCAGTTCCCAATAAGCATTGTGGGGATTTCTTCTTCAACCAACACTTAATCGAACAAACGCCTAAAAATGTACGCCACACTCCGACATGTACTCCAACAAAACAGGTCTCGATGTAGCCCAGCTTGCTTCCAGCCGCCAAACGAACCCCGTACCCACTCACACGTGCACAGTTTTTCCACCGTCTGTCACCGAAGGGCTGTCATGCTCCCCTTAATAGCCGGCGCCGCCGCCAGTTGACTCTCTTTTACGGAGCGCAGGGTCCACAAATCGAATTTACCTAGCCTGACGTTTCGGACCCAAGAGCTGAGCTAGGCTGGCTGAGGGCTCCCACGCATAACAGGAACAACATATATCGAATAAAAAACGCAATTAACGAAACAGGTCCAATAGCATGACGTCTTTCGCCGGGCAAACTGCCATAGCTGTGGATGTGCTCAAGTCCTCTGCGTGCTTTTATCCCTAAACCTCACTCTTCCTGCCCACCACCGGCTCCCAGTGCATACAACTTCCTACGCCGCAGCCGTATGGAAGCACACCTTAGTCTGTGCGAGGATCAGACCACACGTCCACACCACAGACCACACCCCGCTGCCGCATTCCCCCCCCCCGCGCCGCCCCGTGCTGCACCGCCCTCGTTCGTGACAAACACCACAAACGACATGATACAGAACTCAGAAAGGTACAAAGGCCTTTCAACTAAACCACGACGAAATGGAGGTTTATGAAAGGGACACGCACAAGAAACGCACCCCCTCCTGCCTCACACTCCACACACACACACACACAATCCTCTCCTATATGATACAACTCCGCAGCTTGCAGAGCTATGGAATAACTCGACCCAAACACCACTTCTAAACGCAGCGCTTCTTGGCCGCCAGAGGGGGAAACTATATAGTACACTATAGTCCACCCCCAGGGGGTGGGCAATAGTGTACTTCGACCCCGCGACGTCCATGCGACCTGTTTCATGTGTCTTACCGCGACTATAACTGACACGCGTATCCGGGAATTTGCGACATTGCAAGCGTTTCATTGAGCTTTCCGATTAAGCAGCCATGGCGCGGAGCTCGCCACAGACCTGGGCGCGTCAGCCAGGGCTTCAGACTGCTTGTCTATCGGTCTGCTTGTGTTTCTAGGCTAGTACTAGTACTAACTATCCGGCGTCTATCGTCGCAAACAGCCACAGCCGCAGCACGGGGTCCACAGCGCCTGTAGCACACTCCATATTTAATTGTGCTGCGCCCTCGATACCGCAGTTCCGAGGGACCTGTTACCCCATGGGGAACTCAACGCCTGTGCGATGCTGCAACATCTGCAAGCCAGAACCCCCCCTGGAGCAGGGCTCCAGGCCGGTGTCCTTCACACGCACATGCACACGCGCACCGTCAGCCAATTCATGCCCATATCCGAGATCGTTATAAGGCACTCCTGCAACCCCCCGGACTCCGCCGTGTGCAACCACGGAGCCCGGCCGCCACCATCGCGTCTCGCGCGAACTCGTGCCTGTCTGGCCCACGCTAAGCCGCCCCCACACCCCGGTCTCCACCTTCCCTCCCCATCTCCACCTTCCCTCTCCCTCATTCGGTCTCCTCTTCGGAGCGGAAGCGCTCCCAAATCGGCTTGGCAGCGTCCATCGTCCGAAGGGTAATGAACTCGGCCACGACTCGCATCTTCAGCAGGTTGACAGTCGCAGCGTCAGTAAACCTGCAGACGTAAGAGGATAGCAGTACAACAGCTCATCCACACAGCGAACCGTCCCCAACAGAGAGCATCTGCATGTCGGTCATGACCCGTGTGGTGTGACTCGTCCAGTATGGAAAAACCCTTCCTATAAACCAAGCCCCGAGATGCTATATGTTGTTCTTGGCTTTTCGTGTTGTTACACTGAACCAGCTGCGCACGAGGCGGCGACCTCAGCACCTAGACGATAGGTCCATTCCTCGAGGCACTGAGGAGCTCTGCCTCACAATGACACTGATTACGCAACGACTGGATTTAACACGTCCTTATACTTACGCGCCGCATGCCTCGGATAGGGAGTCATACTTCCGAATCTGGACTGGTAGCGGTGGTAGCTTCTCGCCTGTAACTGCTGAGGACAGGCTGTCCGAATTCCGACGGAACTGCTTCCGGAAGCGCGCTTGGAGGCTGCGATCCTCCTCAGACGGATCAGCGGTGGCTGGAGGCAGCGCCGCTACACCGCCGCTGCCGTGTCCCACAGTTGGCGAGGAGCCGCCTTGTATGCTGGGCCCAGAATCAGAGCCTAAGACAAGGAATGGAGAATGGACACACCAGGTTGAATATAGGCACTTTTCATGGCTATATTATCATGGTTAGTTGTGTGCAAACGAGTAAGGCGTTGGGCAGGGAAAGGTAAAACGCGTAGGAGGCTGATTTCGATGACCCGTCTTCAGCTGGAAAACGAGCGGATCGGTTAAATAAGCTTGGCGGCTGATACTCTATTGGAGTGTGCTGAAGTTGGTGTTGGAGGAGAAAGGCTGACGTGTGGCAGTATGCCTCGCGACAAATCGGGTACATCTTGCGACCAACCGCCCTAGCGTCTTACCTGCCGTAGGGGCAACTGGCACGCGCTCCTCCGTGATGGCGATTTCTACTCCCTGCGCACAGCAGGTGGTGCTTGAAGATCACCACATGTCTACACGTACTGCAGTTGACTATTACTCGTGCTCACGACTTACCTCGCAGAACGGCATTTGCGTCGGCTGTCCCTGACGAGCAGGTTTTGAGTGTGTCGGGTGTGAAGAGTATCCCACGCAGTAATACTGCGAATAAAAAAGCAATGGAAGACAGCCAAACCTACTTACTCCTGAGGCGTGTAGTAGGCAGTCACGGCTAGCGACCACTAGCGACCGGCAAATGTACGCTCAGTCGCATTAGCCATCGATCAACAAAGCTGGAGGCGTTCATAACCAAGCCTTGGAAACTTTGCGCAAACGCACACGTCAAACAAGTATGGACTTGAGGTTGTGCCACGCAAAAGCTAGGCGGTCACCCTGCAGTTCGTAAGCGTGATGCTGACGCTTCACGCATGACGCTATACCGTTTTGCAACCTGAAGGCCACAGGCTCTATATCACTCTTTGCACGCACAGCGCCACCTATAGAACTAGTCCTGCACCTTAAAGTCGCCAGTCGCCTCGTTCAGCATCCTGACATCATCGTTGTCCTGGTCCCCGTGCTTAAATTGAGCGAGACCCATGCATTTCTGCGACGGCCATGCAAGCGTGAATTGCATTAATGGCCGACCAATCGTCACTCCGGCGCTGCATAGCAGCGGTATCCCTGCTCACCGGCGCTTTACCACTACGCTCTAGAGCTCTGTTAAAGTATGTAACGCCCAGACAGCATTTAGCCTCTGGACCAGCAGTCTCTACGGGTTTGTTGGGCATTGTAGTTAATCAGCCTGAGACTGAGAAAGTTTATCCTTAAAACCTATAACAAATAATGTTATAGCTTGGCAGAAATAAGGCTGCCAAGGGAGCATTTGGAGTTTAGCTGGTGATACAGTTATGTACGACCCACAAATCGCTCTTGACACCGAACCTGTTTTTGTTCTCGTGCGTAACTTAATAATCTTAATAGCAGTCAATCCTTCATCGTAAATTTCTTCGAGCTTGTGAAACACTTTTGGAACCGTTGAACCTTTGAGAACAAATGGCTGAACCGCCTCCTGAACAGCCAAGCACAACTGATTCTATAGATGCTCGTATCTTTGGAGCTGATGGAGGACTTCGACCAGACCACCCGCTTCTGCGCCGGGCGCAGGAAGGGCTGAAAGCACAGTTCGAAGCAAACCGCACGCGACTGCAGGAGGACCTTCGGGAGAAAGCCAATGCTTTGAAGGTGCAATCGTGGACATTCGTAGAGGATGTCGAAAAGCTGCGGAAAACCTTCCATGTCGACACGCGCCCTCTTTGCTTACGCTCGTGCAGCAAGCCAAGTCAAAGCGAGAGGCTTTGGGCGTTGAGCTGTATGGATTTCAACAGAACCTCGCCAAGCTGCAGCTTGCCCTTGAGCAGACCCACCAGAATTACCAGGTCATCAACCGGGAACGTCAGCAAGTAAGCGAGTTGACCTGGCGTCTGAGCATGTGAAAGCACTCCGAGGTCTTTTGCGAGCACCAGGCTGCCGAATCATTTCTTTTGCATCACAAAGCCAGCATGGGTGATTGCAAGTACGGACCCACCTGAGTAAGGACCCGTTCGACGCGTTCCATAATCCGGGCAACTGTTCTGAGTCCGCTTTGTTGTCCTACGCTGGCATTTGCCTTACGCCCTATAGCCTGTCATACTTTCAAAAGCCCTCACCCCCGTCGTCCACGATATCGTGGATGTGCCCGCCCTCTACCGACGTAAACCCGGCTGCCAAATCCCCCCTGCCCACCAAACCCTTTGCCAGTGTGAGGAGCAGCTGCAGCAGCTCCGACAGCAGCTCGTCGTGGAAGAGGGCGACACCAAGGGGGAGCGTACACGGGTGCGTACCGATATCGGGCTAAAGGGGGCTATTCGGCCTATCTGGGCTATGCAAACCTCCCATTCCAACAGCAGCCCCTGCCAGTTCAGACGGCTGGATAGAGTGTAAGCCTTGACGGCACCGCTACACCGTCCCGCGGAGTAAGGGCCCCCTCCAACCAGCTGCTGTAGCGCATGCAAGATGTCAACCATGAAGGGTGCACATGGACTCCTGCAGCACGTTCCCCTACTTGTCACAGCCGGCTGGGGCTAAGGTCCAAATCCAACCCTCAGCTCCACAGCCTGGGGTGTTATGACCCACAAGAGGAGCTGGGCCAGAAGGCGTTGGGACCTAGGGACAGGCAGGACGTCATTAAGATTAAGAAAGGGATTGGTGCGTGGTTCAGCGGCTTGCAACCGCCCATTTGGAGGTGGTTATTCTTATATACTGGTACTGCTCGGGCAGATCCCGACGGATCTGAAAGTGGTTGGCAGCTTTTGGGCGTTGAGTCGAGTCGCGATTGGTGGCGGCGCGGGTACTCATCCTAGGGCGGCTGGGCCTTGCGCCGGGGTGGCGGCGGCTTGGGGACGCCAGCAAACGAAGCCTGTGTGCCAGCATAAGCATGAGTGCACCCTTGGTTTGCCGGTGGCCGCTAGCACACGACTGCCTGCGGTGCGGTATTCTAAGTCCACAGGAGTGAGTGATGCGTCCTTGAAACATCTGAGCCGCTACACGGGAAATGCTGACGGGGTTACACGAATAGCCTAACGGAAGCAAGCTCCGTAGTCCAGCGACGTGTTATACATAGCTTGAATTTCACAAGTGGATTTTAATTAGAAGCGTGTCGCTTAGAGCCCGTAGTAAAAAGTGGCGCTGTAGTGCTGAAGGGCGATTAGGTGGTGGGCAGACGCGAGACAAAGGGCTATCCTACAGAAAGCGAAGAAAAGCGGAACTCCTTGGTGCTATGAGTTGGTTTTGATGGTCTGATCCGCGATGGGGGAAGTGCCGAAGGTGGCGATGCTGTGAGATGGTGCTGGGGCAGGCAATAAGACGAAGGGGGTGGGTATGTGGCATTATGACAAGCAGGGCCGGTATGTGCGGTGGCCCCTCATGGAAGCTCCCCTCAGCGTTGTGACCCAAGTGTTGTCTTCTGCTCAATGGAGACAGAACAGAAGGCTTGAAGGAAGGTCCATGCCCTCAATTTATCTCCCAATTTCACTTTTGTTGCCACACAAACAGATTGAGAAATTCCAGCTGGAGCTGGACCGATTGGGTGCGACTCTGAAGCAGGTGGAGGAGTACAACGAGGCCATGAAGGTGAGTCTGAGGGTCTGCGCTCTGGATGTGCGAGATTTGGGGCTGTGCGAGAGAAAGACATCGTAACCCCCCTTTCGGGTGGCAGGGAAAGGCACGGATCCCCTCTGCTTTGGGTGGGGAGTCGGGGGTAAGAAAGTTAGTATAGTGAGCCCTAGGGTTTCAGACTCAGACATGCAGGCAAAACGTGCGTGAAAGCTTGGCAGGAATAGGTGTCTTTCACAGGGGGCCGTGTGGGGCGGTGTGTAGGTTACCTGTGTGCAGCGCAAGGTTCCGCCAACTGACCGACGCTCCGATCACGTGACCCGGCCTGACCTTACTTACGATGGTGATGATGGTGAGCGCAGGGCGAGATTGCGGTGACACGGCGGGCGGCCTACGCAGCGGAAGAGGCGGTTCAGAAGATGGAAAAGGCAAAAATGGATCAAGACTTCAGGTGAGGTCGCGGAGGCCTCCGGCAAGCCTGGATTGGCCGTTAGCCCAAGCCTGGGACGGCCCTTGCCTGATGGACGCGGGACCTGGGATAGTCGTCCTGGTGCAGTCTGTATGCGATCCAGTTTGGATCTGGTTCCCGTTGGATTTTAGCTTAGTTGGTTGGACCTTGTTAACCTTGTTTGGGTTCTCAAAGCCTTATTGTGCGTGTGAAATTGGCCCGATTTGAGGTTGGCCATCTGCCCCTTAAGGGCCCTGAATCAGGACTGCCTGGGGCCTGCGTTGGGTCTGTCCTCGACTGTCCTCGGGCTGCTTGTCACCATCCGCCCCGCGTGAGCATCTGAGGTAGTCACATCCGAGCCCGCGGCACTTCTTCCCTAGGTCCGTAACCCTGTTGCTCGTGTCCCCTATCGCCATCCTCAGGATTGACACGCTGCAGGAGAACCTCAAAAGCGCACAGCAGCAGCTGTCGCTGGTTTCCGCGCAGCTAGAAGCGCAGAAACGCGAGACGCGCGCTGCACTGGAGACTCTCGCAGAGGCCGAGGTGCGTTTGCTGTAGCAGCAGCAGCAGCAGAGTCATCGCCGCGCGCTCGCACACACCCCACACATGCATGCATGCACACAAGGACCAGTATGACGCGGGTTTTATGTGGGGAAAAGAAACCCTCTGGATTGTATCGATGGGTTTCAGGGGGCAGAGGAGGGCCCACCTTGCTTCCTGGTCCCTCGCCGCTCGCTACGATAACAGTTGCCGGCTCATACATCGCTGCCTTTGGCTCGGTCCGTTCCTGCCTGGCTCCTCTTGCCCGCCTGCCTACCTGCCTGTTCACCTCTTTTCGCCGTGTTCATGTTCCCCCACATGCCTCTCATGTCTCCCTTGTCCTGTCGTGCGTGTTGTAAAGCATGAGAGGATGGGCTGGGAACGGGAATATCCCATCCTGGCATCCTGTGAATGGGTATCCGTCACAGGGATTGCTGGCTGAGCTGCACGCGTGCCTGAGCTGCGAGCGTCCCCCACGATCCGTCATGACGCTCCTCTTGCCGCTGGCGTATCACGTGCTGTTGGTGTCGGAACTCTGCTTGCAGGCCGAGATGGAGAACGTCCACTTTGAGAAGAAGCAGTTGGTGGCGCAGTGGAAGAGCAGCCTGCTTGCTATACAGAAGTGAGACTCATCCGGCAGGAAAGGGGTTGGAGGGAAAGACAGACGGACCCTGAACCGACATGAACACGGACCCCCGGGGATGCAATGGAAGGCTCCAAGTGGACCTTACTCGACTTGTGCAGGCGCGAACCCTCGGCCCTTTTGTGCCAGACTCCCAAGTCCTTCGGTCGTCTTCTGCACGCTCATGTTCCCGCGGGCCTTCGCACTTGCCAGATACCTTTAGCTCCGTGTGAAGCTTACTCCTGGCTTCCCTTCCCGAAGCTTTCTGCAAAGCTTCCTGCCCGGCCTGGCTTCCTTCCTGCCTGGCAGGAAGCTGCCAAAAAGCATGATAACCACCAATTAAACTGCCCATCCACCGTCTGGCCCGCGTTCACCGGCCGGCCACAGGCGTGACGAGGCTCTGTCGGCCATTCAGGACGGCATGCGGGAGCAGCAGCAGCAGGAGCTGTCCCTGGCGCTCGAGATTGATGGCTACAAGAAGGTGCGTGCCTATGAATTTGCGACGATCACACACCATGTGGACATGGAATGCACAGCAGCACGGACTGCTGGCGTTCAAGAGGGAGTTCGGTTTCGGTTTGCACTCGTGAGGACGTGCTGGCAACCTATCCGCGGGCGTTGCTGTCATTTCAGGGTGCCTCTCGTAGCGGTGAACAAGTGTCTTGACTGCATACCGCGGCTTGGGTACACTAATCTCCTCCGGTGAAAAGCGCAGCTTGCGGGGCTAATGTGGAGGTGCTCGGCCACATGATGTGGTTGATGGCACGTCTCCTGGCCCCGTTCTAATCTTGTTGCTCTGGTGTGACGACCCCACCACCTCCACTGCCCGCCACATCTCCACTGCCTGTCGCGACACAGGACGTGATCAAGGAGCAGCTCAAGCACGAGGCGCTTACGGCGGTGGTCCGGAAGGTGGAGGGTGACTCGGTGTTTGTGCAGAAGCAGATTGAGGCGGCCCAGGAACGGCAGGTACGGCGGTGTGTGATAGGTAGTACAGCTGTACGGTGAGGGTACTAACGCGGGTGTGTACTGCGGGGGTGCGTGTGGTGGGGAAGAGTGGGGGTAACGAGCAAAGCCCTGGCCGCAGATCAGCCCGCGCTGGGAGCCATCCACACGGCACGTAACCCAACGCACGCTCCCCACTCCCCGGCGTTGATAGCCAACATCCAAAGCACCTCCCAGAGCAAGGCCCTTGCTCACTGCTCTACCCGCCTGCTACCCCAAACTCGAATCCAAATCCGGATTTCATTTAATTCGAATCTTAATCCAGGCTCGCCTCCAAGAGATCATGTCTAAGCTGGCCAAATCGTTGGAGCACACCGAGGCGGAGGTGGCACGGGTGAATGCGGAGAAGAAGGCGCTGCAGGGTGAGGCGGAGGCTGTGGACCGGGCCACTACCAAGGTAGCTGGGGAGAGCCGGAACATCGAGGAGGAGATGCTCAGTGCCCTGTCCGACCAGACGACGGCTGAGAAGGCCACGTCCAAGACCGCCTCAGACACCAGCGAGCTGCGACGCAAAATCCGGGCCGAGGAGCTGGCGGTGGTGGAGACGGAAAATGAGCTAGCAAAGCTGCAGGTGCGGTTGCACGGGGACGGGGGTTAGGGTTTTAGGACGGGAAAATCGTTGGTTCCTGGATAAGGCCCAGCCCGGTGTGGCCCCCGGCAGCCGTGGTGACATCTGTGTGGGAAGGGCAGTGGAGAGGGCAGCGAAGGAAAGAAAGGAAGGAAGAAAGAAACCCACCGAGGAAATAATAGAATTGGGGAAAAGGGAAAAGTTTTTGGTGCGGCGTTTCCTTCAAACATCCAAAGTAAATCGGCAGTTTTCACCCGTCCACCTTTGCCTGTTTGCCTTTGTCGCTTCGTGTTTGGTTGCCTGCCTGTCTATTTACCTGTCTGTATGTTTGTCCTGTGCAGGTCGACATTTTGAACACGGAGGCGCATAACACCCGGCTGGCGGAGACGCTCGGTTTGCTGGACGAGGAGCTTCGGGACAAGGGTCGTACAATTGAAAAGTACGAGCTGGAGATCAAGCGCCGCAATGACGAGATCGAGAAGAAGACGCGCGAGATCGACATCCTCAACCGCAGGTGCGACACACATTCACACACACATACATACATACACACACACCTACCACTCGAGCACAAACCTTGCACCCACACATTCTCAACACGCAAACGCGACGCACACGAGCACAAGGGGAGAACACAGCCTCCATGAACACACGATATTGTGGACTACCCTCCTCCCTTTCCCGCAACTTCTTATGTGTTATTCACTCGTAACGTGATACATATTAGGGTCTTATAGTTACTGATAAATTTGTACGTGGTCCTCGTGAATGCGCTGCTGCTGTGGTTGCCTTTTTCGTGGTTGTTGTTGTTGTTGTTGCTCATGTTGTGGGGGTGGTGGTTGTGATGGCGGTTACGATGTTGGCGTGCGGTGCAGGTACGAGCGCATCCTTGACGCTCGTGGTACGGGTGAGGAGACGGGCCCCCTGGAGGCGACCATCAAGAACCTGCAGCGGGAGATTGACACCAAGGGCCAGGAGAGCAAGGAGCTGCAGAGGAGGTGGATCAACTACCAACAGGTGGGCGGTAGGCAAGTCGGCCGGTCGGTTGACCAGTCGGTTAGTCATGAACAGTATCTTGTCGATAGATAGTGTAGGCCAGCAGGGGGAGGGAGAGGGGTAGGAAGGGAAGCACAAATCAGTTGGGGGGTCGGTTGGCGGGCGCGGGTTGGGACGGAAGGTTCTATGAGAGCTGGACGGGGGAACGGGTTTCGTGCATGGGGGAGGAGGGGAGGGTTCAGAGGGGGATATACGCGCAGGGGCAGAACCATGTGTGTTGGCAGTTGAGGTAGCGCGAACGCCGTCCCGCGCGCTACCGCCGGTTGCCTCGTTGCTGACCCGGTTAGATCGTTACGGCTATTGCTTTTGTAGCCGTCGCTGATGCCCCGCTGTTCCGCGTGATTCAGTACCGGTGTTCGACCTGTCTTCCTGCCGCCGCTGGTCCTGCTTACAGGAGCTGGTGGGTCTTCAGAACGATAACGGCGGCCTCACGGAGACGCTGGCGAGGCTGCGGGCCGAACACACGGTGCTGTTCCAGAAGAAGAGGTAAAGGGCGCAAAGGGCGGGAGAGAGGGAGAGTGGCAGGAAGAGGGGGTGAAGGTTGGCCTTTGGGGCGATATGTCCGGTGGAAGTCAATCGTTTCATCCTCCAGAACACGCTTCTTGACGGCCCTTTTAATAAGACTTTCATACCTTACACCAGGCGCCTGGAGCAGCAGCTGGAGGGTCAGGAAAAGGCCATCAAAGGGCTCAACTCGGGTATGGCCCGGCTGCATGTGGACCTGCAGCGAGTCAACGGACTCATAGCCACCAACTCAGCAGCCCGGGCTGCCCTGGCGGAGGATAACTTCAACCTGGAGGGGCGCATCATGAACGACTTGCGGGTGATGGAGGAGGAGGCTGCAAGGATCAACAGCCAGATCGAGGAGGTGAGCGAACGGACGAAGAAACAAGTGTTCCGTCCGGGCGTTTGTAAAGATAAAGATCACGGCCATGGATACGACGTATATGTGTGTGTATAGGGTCCCTGGGCTCGCCCGTGCCACTGGCCTGGGGCAGTGTACCTGTTGGCCTTTTCGCAGGACGACTGCATGACGGTGCATGTAGGTGGAGGGAGTGGCTAGCCTAGTCCTTTTGCTTTGACGGTGGTGTGCATGTGTGTACGTGTGTCTTCCCTTCCGTCACCCGCCCCACACTGTCGCCCATTCCTCCTCCCACTCGAGCGGCACCCCCCGGCTTCCTTTCTTTTTCCGAATCGCGATTGTTGCGTCCCACCTAAGCACCTCACCGCAATACCGATATCTCACCCAATAACCGCCGCCGGTGCGGTACCACCGGCACCACCGCCGCAGGGTCGTCAGACAAAGCGCGACACGCTGGCTGAGATTGTTGAGGCTGAGCGGCAGATTATGCTGTGGGAGCGCAAGATCCAGCTGGAGAAGGAGATGGCGGAGGTGATGGACCCCAGCATTGGCCAGGATGTGGTGGGGGAGATGAAGAAGGAGATCCACCGGATGCAGCTGCGGCTGAGCGAGCTGATGCGACTGCAGGTAACCAGGAAAAGGGGAAAAAGATGGGGTTGACGTGAGGGCGCGAGGAAAGATGGGGTTGACGTGAGGGCGCGAGGAAAGAACACGGAAGCAGTCTCTGTGTGTGTTCGTGTGGAGGCAAGAGTGGAGGGAGAATCTGTTGTCGCGCCACTCTTAGGAGGTCATCTGGCGGTAGCCGTGTGTAGTCTTGTACCCTTCGAATCCCCATGTCCCCTCTTTTCCTATCACCAACACCCATGCTATTCCCTATTGCCACTCATGCAAATCTTCCAAGCCCCATCCAAATCTTCCACAATTTCCTTTACCCTTCGGCCAACACTTCGGTCAACCACCCGGGCTCCATTTTGCATAACCACTCGTATCTGCACACATGCATGCATGCGCACACATGTATGAATATGTGAACATGTATGTATATTCCTCCCACCCGCGTTTCCAACTTCTCCCCGCGTGCTGCTTAAGGCGTCGGCGGTTGAGTCTTTGCTTCTTGCATCATCATCATCATCATCATCATCATCATCATCTTCATCTTCATAGTATAATTCCTCGCCCACCCTGCTCCCGCCCCACTCCACCCCAACCTCGCCGGCGCCTCTACTACTCTCAGGAGAAGCTGGTATCCGACATGGAGAAGGCGCTGCTCAAGCGCGAGATCATCACCGTCAAGGGCCGGGCAACAGTGGCTAAGGCCAAGGCCACCGCACCCCCCTCCTCCTCCGCCACCTCCTCCCGCAGCTCGCCAGCCGCCTCGTCCGTGTCGCCCCTGACGAGGAACCAACTGGACAAGGCAACTTCCGACCTGGCGAGGTCCATCAAGGTGAGCGGGGTCGTGATGGAAAGACAACACCACCTGCGTGGGAACGCAAGGAGTAAACGTACGGCTGAGACGTGAAGCGTGGCGAAATTTGTGTGTGTATGTGTGTGTTTGTGTGTGTGTTGCACCTTGAGTTGCATTTTACTCTCCGAAGGTGTAACCTGGGGGGCCCCATACCTGGAGCCTGAGGGGGTCTCAAGGGCCAGTAATCTAGAGGGCTGTGCGAAATAGATACAAAAAACATCCACAACTTAAACACGCTTGAGAAGGTGGGGTTTTTAGTGGGAGATGGGGGAAGTGCGCTTGATTTAAATCCTAATGCCCCGGGGGCTCTCAGGCGGACGTCTGTCAAGGTCGGAATCTTTTCGCAGGTTGTATACTTGCGAGCACACCACGCTCCATACAATCCTTGACCCCTCTCAACTCCCCGTTCTCCACCCCGTCCTGGCTCTTCCCAGGACACGGAGCGTGAGATCGTGGCCACAGAGCAGCGAGTGTCGGCCCTGGAGCAGCAGCGCCAGTCGGTTTCAGAGGCGGTGGCGGCCACGGACGCCGCCTGCCAGCAGCTACGTTCCGCGGAGGAGGCGC